AGCGACTTGCTCTTTGGCTTGATCTCATATGGATCGAATCACGCACATGACTTATCAGTATCTTCAGCATGGGAATCTTGACTTTGGCGCTATGAGGTGTTCTGGGACCATGGATTCTTTGAGCTATGAATATGAAAACCACTGCCATTGGGTCAGATGTCGGCTACGTACCGATTTCTGGATCGGCACGTTGGGGTTCTGCCTGGTATTCATCCCTGGGGATGATTCAGAGAAGTTGTCCAATGTGATCTAATGATGACCAGGCTATTTCTGACTGGAAAATGTTTTAAGTAAACCGTACATAATGCATATAAAACAATATACACAAACTGCCCGAGTAAAGTGAGCTATTTACAGGTGGATATTCACCTTCTAAGACTGGACGTTAGCTTCAGGACGCATTTGAAGTCATATTCATTGAATTTGCTCATAGAATATCTTGTCTCATAAGGAGGAATCATAAGCTGCAATCGAAGCCTCGAGGCAGAACCCCCGCGAGGTCTATCTTTTAATGCTCGCATAAAACGCCGTAGAGGAAATTGAACAAGTATAACATAGTTTCGAATAGCCTCTAGTTTAGACTATCCCTGGGCCCACCGATGTGCCGTGGGAACCTTCTCGCAAACCCGCTCCGTCGACTGCCCTGACTGGTTATGGATGCACGCAGGTCTTCGTCACTGTAAAGCATGCTGCTAGAATCAAATGCATCGCCACCACCGCTCCAGCGATTGAGGAAACGGCGCTGGGCTTCAGTCTCGGGCTCGCGGCGCAGAGTCGGAGGTGGAGGCAAAGCACTACGACTGTTTGGCGTGCTGGTACGGAAGTTCTCGGCAAACCTGGTTTGAATGATACTGGGTTCGTTTTCATCTTCCTCGTCACTCAGCTCTTCTTCGCTGTCTGTGTGCTGCCATCCCCCTTCTTGCTCGGAGCCTTGCTCTACAGCATCGGGGATATCATCGTCGAGGTCGCGTGTCATGCCTTCACTCACACTCTCACCGTCGGCGGCAGGTATCTCCGCATCCAGGTCAGGCTGGTTATCGAAATCATCCTCTTCGTCATCGTCATCATACAAGCCTGAGCCCTCATAGTCATCATCGGGGAAGCCTTCGGGAATGTCATCGTCCAAGTCGCGCTCCATGTATTCTCCTTCTTCGCCAATATCATCTTCCTCAAGTCCCTCTTCGCCTTCCTCGATAAGACCTGAGGCCTCCTCTTCCGCATTGGGGATATCATCATCCAAATCGCGTTCCATGCCTTCGTCTTCTTCGACTTCCCCTGTCTGCATCCCCATGTCATCATCCATTATTCCCTCTCCCTCTGCAGCTTCCATTTCAGCCGCAGCAGCTTGTAGTGCCTCTTCACGCTCCGCTTCTTCCTCTTTCATACCGAGCATTGTCTTCGCACATCCCGCCGGCCTGATCCATGAGTATCCGAACGACGCGATGTTCAATTTTCGAGAGCGTAGCGAGCGTTCTTCTGCAGCTAATGTAGCGATTGTGTTGGCATAAGATCGGGATGGCATTAATGAGCGATGACTGCTGGGCGTGCCGCTGGCATTGCGTCGGGCAAGGTGGTTGGCAGCGGAATTGTCACCAGCTTGTTGATCCGAGGTAGACCGATATGGTTGGGAAGATCCGAACCAAAGTTCGTGGGACTATCGAAGCTGTTAGTTTTCTCCAGGGCTATTTGAGAAACTCGAATCGCTAGAGCCTGGCACTTACGTCGCGCGGGGTGATGGATGAAAGGGTGAGCATCTCTGCAAGGATTATTGTTTCAATGCTGGATTTGGGAATACTATGGTGCCTCCAGGGGCTATTCCGATCTCTCTGCTTATGGAGCTTTGTGGGGATGGCCTGTTGCAGATGTGGCGTTTTGTAGCTCTGCTCCGAAATAATATGGTGCGGCGGGTGAGTGGTCACTGGTTCTGGGACTCCACGACGCGTGTGAGCTTTAATTCTCTTGGAAATAAAGTCATAGAGAAGCGACTGGCGATGTTGATATAGGCGCACGATATCATCCAGGGTCGGGAAACCGCTCGCGCGCGCGAAGGCAGAAAAGGTCAGAGCTCCACAGCCAATCAAACCAATTCATCTATGCGGGGAATCCCCCAGCCTTATGTTGTACTTTTGTTTTGTATACAACATACATAGCTAACTATATGATCAGTATATCTATTCTGTATGCTTCAATTTACTACATTCAGAGCTAAGATTTATATACCTAGGAATACTCTAGAAAATCAAGGCTAATTATATTCTACGTTGTATCTTCTATTAGTGTCTAATAACATTTATAGCTTTAAACAACACAAGAATAGTGGGCCGGCTTATGCGGCCTTGTTATGTCTTCTTAGACGTTGTGTCTTTTTAGGTATATACGGAGGCAGTAAAAAGGCATACTTTGACATATAACCTTTGACTCTATATAGATCGATGTATCTAAGTTCTATTTTGCTGGGCTTGTCATGGATATATATAACCCACTCCTTTTAACTATATTATAGGGCCTTATTTTTCGGTTTCTGTTGGCTTGGCCTTGGGGACCTGCACAGCATGAGAGGTGCTTCCACTTACGGAGTCCAGTCAATCATGAGTTTAGCATTTTATTAATCCAGGCCCTTAGCTACAGGCGTACTTCTACTACGATGCATAAATCAAGGATCAGCCAAATGACTACATATGTAGGTAAGACTCATCCGAGTCAAAATCCAAAACCTCCCAAGGCGCTGGATACAGGAGGAAGTGAGCTGGTGCTTTACTGGTGCGATGTTTTAAAGTTGTACACTGTAAGAAGTGGGATGTTAGGTGAATCCCAAATAGAAATATTAGTCAAAGTGGTGAGATGTTCGAGTTGTTCTCTCATACAATATAACGATACGGTGTAGTTGATATTAATATTGTTGGTTTCCGGTATCACCCGATACCAGCAACCGGTGAACCTAAAGTGGACAAGAGGACACTCGGAAAAACCCGGGGGATACTGTTGTACCTTAGGTAGCTCCCCTCCCCCGAAATCATGACGTTCGATGGATGTGTCTGCTCATGTCTTCTGACTTTCATCAGCACTTTGATTGGCCTAAAGAAGGTGGGGATCATGTGATATCCACTCTGGTCTGGTTCCGGGGTTAAATCTTGTATAAAATACGGTAACTATACACCGCATGTGAACTATAAAATCAAATGCAAGAGGAGAATACTGATCCTATTTTACCCGATCAATAACTATTGATGTATATTATGTATATGTAGACAGCTAAGCGAGACAGCTAGGTAAAGATCCTTAGGAGAAGGAGTTATGTATTCTTATTATCATCATCTACCTTATCTCTAGTTATATCTTCACATGTCTAGACGGATGACTTTCCCCCGGACTCTATTTAACCCCAAATTATACACTGGGATCAAGCATATAGAGTATTTGAGAATGTAAAACATGAAAATTTGAGGAAGCAGGGATTCTGATCAATTCACGGAGCTGAATCCTTCTAGTCCAGGGGTAGGGGCAATGTCAATAAATGGGCAGATAAGTTGAACTGAACTGATTTCAAACGGACGAAGGGGAACCCCATCCGCAAACGGCTCCCCGAAATCGGGCTATGCATCTACAAGCAAAGGTGATAGAGAGGGGAAACCCGGGACAGGGGACTTGGCCGTTGTCGGAATGTCCACGTAGTACTGTTACTTGTTACAGGTATTTGCATTACCATCCATTGGATGTCTGATTGTCTCTTTTGTCTTTAATATGCCCAACTGATGTCCATTTAATGTCCATAATAGTTTACTATCTTTTTCTTTTCTGTGTCTTTCCTGGTACGGACTTGATAGGATATCCTTCAAATCGGTACTTTTGCTAGTTTTTTTTTTTTTTTTTTGGTACTTTTTCAGATTCCCCCTTCCTGCAGATGCAGACTAAATGCAAACTGGAGGCTCGAAACCAAATGGATTAAGCACTACATCTTAGCCCCACTGGGGAGTGTGTGCCCATTCACCCGGGTCTCCCACTCTCCATGTGAGAATTGTCTTATTTCTAATACGGGAATGTGTACGGAGTACACTCAGTACCGAGGTACTCCGTATTATGTACTTTCGTATGTATCTGCCCAATGAGCAGCTCTGATCTTTTTATTATGGGTCTATGGACCTTATGGGCCTATGGGGCCGCCCGGCCCACTGGACCTTGTTTTACTTTTTTTTTGAGCTTTGGAGAGAATAAAGAAAGAAGAAGTGAGGTACGGAGTAGACATAAGAATCAATATAAAAAATAAGTTGTAGAATTAGGTATATAGAATAGTTCTATATAGTAATTATATAGTGATATATAGTAATTATATAGAAGATATTACTAACTAACTAGTTATACTACGAAAGTTAGTTGACGTAGTAAAGAGTTAACCCTGGGTCATAACATCTTCACTCTGATTGGCTGAGTGATGCTTATCTTGGGATGATTTGCACTCCGTAATCATAATGATTATCATTACTTTGGAATGCTCTTGGAGCTGTTTTCGTCTACTCCGTACTGTATGTCAACACTTATGCCCTGTTCAACTGAGTAGTCCTTGAAGTGGCACGTTATAACATATAGCATAGCATAGCATAGCATGTTTTATTTATTTGACTATTTGACTATTTTACTATTTTACTACTTTACTACTTTACTACTTTACTACTTTACTGTTTACTGTTTTACTCATATTTCTTTCACTTAAACATCCCCTTGCCGTTTCTCTTGGCTGCTTTCACCTAACATTTTGCCACGGTAAACTCCCCACCATTGTAATTTTTCCCTTTTTGGGTACATCGGGGCTTGCAATCCCCGGACCTACTGTCCCACCGTAATCACCCATCCTTTTTTTTCCCTCTCTCTCTCTCTCTCTTTCTTCCCCCCTCTCCTTTTTATTCGCTTGTTCTCCTTTTACCTTCCCACCTCTTCCATCTTCAACTCTTTCGCAGAAGCTGGGTGATCATTGACCCGTTTGTTCCTCCCTCGCCCGCGCTGCGACACACCCTGTGACGACATCGCTGTCAACCCCCCAATCAACCCCCAAATCGGCGGGGTCCTTCCTAGAAACCAATCCCCTTCAGTTACCATTCCATTCTCTGTCGGCTCCCGACGGAAGAATGGGTCTTAACTTGGAGGAGCTCTATGGCAAAGATATAAGTGAAGAACAGGCCCCTCATGAGTATTCTCAGTACCAACCCAAAAAGGGTTATGGCTGGGCCAATGCTCTGCCAGAGCGGCAAGGTCTGTACAACCCTGAATATGAGAAAGATGCCTGTGGTGTAGGCTTTGCAGCGTGAGTGAAAATCCCCTAAGACTGGGTCCCCAATTGGAGACATTGAGGACCAGCTCAATTCTGACGGACAAACCAGTCACATCAAGGGAAAGCCAAGCCACAAGATTGTTAGCGATGGTGAGTGCTAGTTTTCTACCCTTTGAGCTCAAGGTCAGAACAAATGAAGCTGATAGCAATCGAACAGCTCGCAATCTGCTGTGCAACATGACCCACAGAGGAGCCGTTGGCTCTGATGCACGGGACGGTGACGGTGCTGGTGTGATGACCAGTATTCCACACAAGTTTTTCATTAAGAATTTCGCCCGTGAGGTGGGTGTGGATCTCCCTCCGTTGGGACAATATGCTGTTGGCAACTTGTTCTTTAAGCCCGACGAGGAGGCACTCAAGCAGTCCATAGCAGGATTTGAGGAACTGGCCACGACACTCGGCTTGCGCGTTCTTGGATGGCGTGAAGTGCCCCGGGATTCAACCATTCTTGGTCCTGCCGCACTATCTCGAGAGCCCATTATTATGCAGCCATTTGTGGTCTTGAAATCAGCATATGGTGAAGGCAACAAGCCCGAGATCACCGACACTGAAAAGTTTGACGAGAGAACTTTTGAACTTCAGCTGTACGTTCTACGAAAGCGTGCCACTCATGTCATCGGTCTCGGAAACTGGTTCTACCTATGCTCTCTCAGCAACCGGAACATCGTCTACAAGGGTCAACTCTCTCCCATTCAAGTGTACACCTACTACCACGATTTAGTGAACGTAGACTACGAGGGCCACTTCGCCCTAGTACACTCTCGGTTCTCGACAAACACATTCCCATCCTGGGATCGTGCCCAACCCCTTCGATGGGCTGCCCATAACGGTGAAATAAATACCTTGCGAGGAAATAAAAACTGGATGCGCGCACGAGAGGGTGTCCTGCGGTCAGATGTCTTCGGTGAGGAGCTTGACCAGCTGTACCCCATTGTTGAGGATGGCGGTTCCGACTCAGCCGCGTTTGATAACGTGCTTGAACTACTCATGATCAATGGCGTTCTGTCCCTTCCTGAGGCAGTGATGATTATGATTCCCGAGGCCTGGCAGGACAACCCAGCCATGGACCCGGCCAAGTCTGCTTTCTACGAGTGGGCTGCTTGTCAGATGGAACCTTGGGATGGTCCAGCTCTTTTCACTTTCTCTGATGGACGCTACTGCGGTGCTAACCTTGACCGTAACGGTCTCCGTCCCTGCCGTTTCTATGTAATGGACGATGACCGCATCGTCTGTGCCTCTGAGGTCGGCGCTATTGATATTGACCCCGAGAGAGTCGTTCAAAAGGGCCGCTTGCAGCCTGGAAAGATGCTGCTGGTTGATACCGTGGCTGGGCGGATCATCGATGACGCTGAGCTCAAGCAGACTGTTGCCCGCCGCCAGGACTTTGCCGGTTGGCTGGACAAAGGGCTTCTGAAACTCCCTGCTATCAACCAGACGCTACTTGACTCCAACGTTGATCTTTCTTTTGCCCTGGACAACAACACCATTCAGAACGACCCCCGCCTCCGAGTGTTCGGGTACTCTTTTGAACAAGTCAGCTTGATTCTTGGCCCCATGGCCGCAGACTCCAAGGAAGCTCTGGGTTCCATGGGCAATGATGCACCTCTCGCCTGCATTGCCCAACAGCCTCGCCTACTCTACGAGTACTTCCGCCAGCTCTTTGCCCAGGTCACCAACCCTCCCATTGACCCCATCAGAGAGGCTGTCGTTATGTCCCTCGAATGTTACGTCGGTCCTCAGGGAAACCTGCTGGAAATGGACCCTTCGCAATGTCACCGTCTGCGTCTACCCTCTCCCATTCTGACCATTCCCGAGTTCAATGCTTTGAAGAATGTCAACGTAGTCCACAACGATTGGACTGTGCGAACCATCGATATCACGTTCGAGAAGAGCAAGGGCACCGCTGGGTATATTGAAGCGCTCGACTCCATCTGCGATGGTGCCACTGAAGCTATCCAGCATGGCGACAGGGTCATCATTCTCTCCGACCGTGCTACATCCGCCGACCGTGTTCCAGTCTCTGCCTTGCTGGCTACCGGTCTGGTGCACCATCATCTCGTCCGAAACAAGTGGAGATCGCTTGCTGCCCTGGCAGTTGAAACTGCCGAGGCTCGCGAGGTCCACCATCACTGTGTTCTGCTAGGATATGGTGCCGATGCCATCAATCCTTACCTGGCTCTAGAATGTATTCTCAAGATGAACCGGGAGAAGCTGATCCGCAAGGACATCCCCGATGAGAAGGTTGTTCAGAACTACAAGTCATCCTGTGATGGTGGTATTCTGAAGGTCATGAGTAAGATGGGTATCTCTACTCTCCAGTCCTACAAGGGTGCCCAGATTTTCGAGGCCCTTGGTATCGACGACAGCGTTATTGATCGCTGCTTTTCCGGTACTGCCAGTCGCATCCGTGGTATCACATTTGATCTGATTGCCCAGGATGCTTTCGCCTTCCACGAGCGTGGTTACCCCTCGCGTCCAATTGTTGAGGTTCCCGGTCTGCCCGAATCCGGCGAGTACCACTGGCGTGATGGAGGAGAGCCCCATATCAACGACCCCACCAGCATTGCCAACGTGCAGGATGCCGTTCGCACCAAGAACGACAAGTCCTATGAAGCCTATGCCAAGTCCGCACATGAAGAGATCAAGAACTGTACTTTGCGTGGAATGCTGGACTTCGATTTCGACCAGCGTACCCCTATTCCCATTGACCAGGTCGAGCCTTGGACCGAAATTGTTCGTCGCTTCGTGACCGGTGCCATGTCCTACGGTTCTATCTCTATGGAATCTCACTCCACAATTGCCATTGCCATGAACCGCTTGGGTGGCAAGTCCAACACCGGTGAGGGTGGTGAAGATGCCGAGCGTAGCAAGAGAATGGAGAACGGCGACACGATGCGGTCCGCTATTAAGCAGATTGCGTCTGGTCGTTTCGGTGTGACATCCAACTACCTAGCCGACGCCGATGAATTGCAAATCAAGATGGCCCAGGGTGCCAAGCCCGGTGAGGGTGGTGAATTACCCGGCCACAAGGTCGTCGGCCCCATTGCTCGCACTCGGTTCTCCACACCGGGAGTCGGTCTTATCTCCCCGCCCCCCGCACCACGACATCTACTCCATTGAAGATCTGAAGCAGCTTATCTACGATCTCAAGTGCTCTAACCCCAGAGCTCGTGTCTCCGTCAAACTCGTATCTGAGGTTGGTGTTGGTATTGTCGCTTCTGGTGTGGCCAAGGCCAAGGCTGATCACATCTTGATCTCTGGTCATGATGGTGGCACCGGTGCCTCGCGCTGGACCGGTATCAAGTATGCCGGTCTTCCCTGGGAATTGGGTCTTGCAGAGACTCATCAAACTCTAGTTTTGAACGATCTGCGTGGTCGTGTTGTCGTCCAAACTGATGGCCAAATCCGTACGGGCCGTGACCTTGCCATCGCTTGTCTCCTTGGAGCGGAAGAATATGGATTTGCCACAACTCCTTTGATCGCATTAGGATGCATTATGATGAGAGTGAGTACATTCAGCCTCTGATTTCCCAACGAACAGCCTATTAACAAATATATCTCCCCCAGAAATGTCACCTGAATACCTGCCCTGTTGGTATCGCGACTCAGGATCCCGAACTGAGGCAGAAATTCAAGGGTACACCGGAGCATGTTATCAACTTCTTCTATTATGTTGCCAACGAGATGCGTGCTATCATGGCTAGGCTGGGTATTCGTTCGGTTAACGAGATGGTCGGTCGTGCTGAGCTGCTTAAGGTCCGGGACGATATTCGTAATGTCAAGCAGGAACGAATTGACCTGTCACTCATCCTGACCCCTGCTCACTCACTTCGCCCTGGAGTCGCTACCTACAATGTTCGCAAGCAGGATCACCGCCTCCACACCCGCTTGGATAACAAGTTGATTGCTGAATCGGAGCTCGCTCTTGAGAAGGGTCTACCTTGCCGAATTGAGTGTGATATCGTCAACACCGACCGTGCTCTGGGCTCTACTCTCTCTTATCAGATCAGCAGACGTTATGGCGAAGATGGTCTTCCCCAGGATACCATTCACGCAAACATTAAGGGCTCTGCTGGTCAATCCTTTGGTGCCTTCCTCGCCCCCGGTGTCACCCTTGAGCTTGAAGGTGATGCCAACGACTATGTCGGTAAGGGTCTTTCCGGTGGTCGTCTCATCGTCTACCCCCCGCGTGGAGCCGCTTTCAAAGCTGAAGAAAACGTCATCGTTGGTAACACCTGTCTTTACGGTGCCACCCGCGGAACTTGCTACTTCCGCGGTATGGCTGCTGAGCGTTTTGCTGTCCGTAACTCTGGCGCTACTGTCGTTGTTGAGGGTGTTGGTGATCACGGATGTGAGTACATGACTGGTGGTCGTGTACTCAATCTCGGACCCACTGGCCGCAATTTCGCTGCTGGTATGTCTGGTGGTATTGCCTACGTTCTGGATAAGAACCAAGACTTCCATTCCAAGGTTAACTTGGAGATGGTTGAGATCTCCAGCATCGAAGACCCATCAGAGATTGCCTTTGTTCGTGGTTTGATTGAAGATCACCACCATTACACTGGCTCTGAGTTGGCTGCTCGCATCCTGCTCGACTTTACTCGCGCGCTTTCTCACTTCGTCAAGGTTCTGCCAACCGACTACAAGCGTGTCATGGAGGAAGAGGCTGCTAAGGCGGAGGCTGCGAAGAAGGCCGAATTTACTCTTCCTCAGCTCCCTAGCACCCCAGTCAAAACCGAGAAGGCCAATGCCGATGACTCCAAGAAGACTGACTTGCTGGATATTGAAGACAGCATTAGCGATTCCAAGACTGAGAAGAAGCGGTCCGCATTGATCTTGGACAAAACAAGAGGTTTCATGAAGTACAGCCGCCGCAGTGAGAAGTATCGCAATGCGACAACCCGTACTCGCGACTGGGGCGAGATCTCTCATCGCCTCAGCGAGGACGAGCTTAAGTACCAGTCTGCCCGTTGTATGGACTGTGGTGTTCCATTCTGCCAATCTGACACCGGCTGCCCCATTTCCAACATTATTCCTAAATGGAACGAATTAATATTTCGGGGCCAATGGCAGGACGCTTTGAACCGTCTGCTCATGACCAACAACTTCCCTGAGTTTACCGGTCGTGTCTGCCCTGCGCCTTGCGAAGGCTCCTGTGTTCTAGGCATCAATGAAGACCCCGTCGGTATCAAATCCATCGAGTGCGCAATCATTGACCGTGGATTCGAGATGGGCTGGATGGTTCCCTGCCCCCCTCCGACCCGCTCTGGCAAGACTATAGCTATCATTGGCTCTGGACCTGCTGGCTTGGCTGCTGCTGATCAGCTTAACCACGCTGGTCACAGCGTCACCGTTTATGAGCGTGCCGACCGTATGGGTGGTCTTCTCATGTATGGTATCCCCAACATGAAGCTTGACAAGAAGATTGTCCAGCGCCGTATCGACCTCATGGCCGCTGAAGGTATCAAGTTCGTTGCGAGCACTGCTGTTGGCCCTGACTGCGAGATTTCCCTGCAGTCTCTCCGTGCCACAAATGATGCTGTAATTGTTGCCACCGGTGCCACTGTTGCGCGCGATCTCAAGGTCACTGGTCGTGAATTGGATGGCGTGCACTTTGCCATGCAATTCTTGCATAAGAACACCAAGTCCCTCCTCGACTCTGGTCTTTCGGATGACGCATACATCTCTGCCAAGGACAAGCATGTTGTCGTCATTGGTGGTGGTGATACCGGCAACGATTGTATTGGTACCTCTGTCCGCCATGGTGCCAAGTCGGTGACCAACTTCGAGTTGTTGCCCCAGCCTCCCCCAGAGCGTGCCCGTGACAACCCTTGGCCTCAATGGCCCCGTATCTACCGTGTCGACTATGGTCACACCGAGGTCAAGACCCACATGGGCAAAGACCCACGTGAGTACTGTGTCATGTCGACCGAGTTCGTTGACGATGGCAACAACTGCGTCAAGGGCATCAACACTGTGCGAGTCGAGTGGACCAAGAGCGCTACCGGCGGCTGGGACATGAAGACCGTCGAGGGCAGCGAGCAATTCTTCCCCGCTGACCTTGTCCTCCTCTCTATGGGATTCCTGGGCCCCGAGGATCGGGTCTTTGGTGAAGATATTGAGCTTGATCCTCGCAAGAACATCAAGACTCCTCCCGGCCACTACTCGACCAACATTGCCGGTGTCTATGCGGCAGGTGACTGTCGCCGTGGACAGTCTTTGATTGTCTGGTGAGTTTTCGCCGAACTCTTATATAGCTGTGTGATATACTAACATGATTCTAGGGGTATCAACGAAGGTCGCCAGTGTGCTCGTGAAGTGGACGCTTTCCTCAGCGGAACCAGCTCCCAGCTCCCAGTCACCGGTGGTATCGTCCGTCGTCCTGCCATCGACTCCGTCCCTCAGCCCACTGAGGTTGCTGCTTAATCTAGCAGCAATGTAGGACATGTTTACGACTTTGACGGCCATTTCCACGACAAAAGTTTCATGGATAAACTTGTAACTTAAGAGGGGTTTCAAATGGGGTTGGTTCTCTGCGCGAATGAAAACGCCTCCCAAGACTGCGCTTTCTTGAGTTTTTGCTTTCTACTCTCTGTTTTATTTTCATTTTTATTCATTTTTTCTTTTTTTTTTTCCTCAGCGTTTGATTTCTTTTCCTTCTTCTCTCAAGTTTAGAAGGTGTTTAGAGCGTCTGCCATTCGGTGATCTCTCTATTTCTGCTGTACATAGCTTTTCCGCAAATCCGACTCTGCGTCATCATTATTTCGAATTCATCTATAAAACTGAATTTTTCGTTTCTTTTGAGGCTCTCTATGTCTTTGTATTAAATAACAAAGAGCTAGAGAGTGTCGACTATGTCTTTGTGCTTCTTTCTGTGGCAACTTTCCCTTGTTAAACTTGCGTGGCCGGCTTTCATGGCTAAACTATATATAAGTGTCCTTATATCCCTTGACTTTTTCGGACCATTCCATTCCATTCATTTTGTTTTAACCTATTTCACAGATTCACGGATCCTATCCATCGCAGACATGGACAACGAGGCCAATACGACAACCGATGCCGCAAGTGATCTCAATCCAAACGGCTTCATCACTAACCGCGAGCTCGGCGGCGAGCGACGTTCCATCCGCCACTATAATGATGGTCGAGTATCCGGGCGCGGTAGGAGTGTTGAGGGTAGCCTTCGAACAAGGATGCAGAAGAAGTACACAAGGGCCGGAGGTCGCGGCAGACCTCCCACCTCTCACCCCTGCGGCCTGAGCGGTGGATCTACTCCAACTGTTGCGTCCGGTCCATCTGATATCGCTGATATCACTGCTGCCATGGCCAAGCTCAATGTTGACCATCCCACTAGCCTTAAGGTAAAGAAACTCGGCAAGAAGTTGAAGCTTGATGCCGATTCGGGGATTGAGACTGTGGCTCTGCGAAAGGTCGCTTTTTCATCTACGGCTAGTGTGGCTTCCTCTACGGGCAGCACTGGCAGCAGAAGTTCTGTCAATGCTAGGATTGCGGAGATTGAAAGTCGAGTAAAGAAGCACATTAAGACCCAGCTCCATTCTATTACAGAGGAAGAGGAAGAGGAAGAATAATAAAGAATGAAGTTCGGATTGGGCAACTAGAGAATTGGAGAACATCACCTTACCTATCTTCTATTAGATTTCTGTATGCTAACATGTCGAGTTGCTCTTTACAATAGGTCTTACAACCTTGCTTCGCAGTTGAGCCTTTATATGCACGGCGACTGACTACTCACAGCTTCCTGGGTATATATGTCCAATGGTCTGAAAGAATATGAGGTAAGTATAACTATTTGGGATTTCCTCTTTGATATCCCAAGACATGTCTCTTGTGTCCACGGGCTTTTAGGTCTTTACTAACACGTTTCATAATTCTATGTCCCTTCAATTATGTGGCATTCTTCAAGCATTTCTTGAGGCCTTTTGAGTCAATCAATCTATTTCGGAATCATTTTTCCCCCTTTAATGGAATTTTATAGATCATAGACCATAGTTATAAAACCCACGTAAAGATAGGCCTGAGAAATGCCGAGCATATAAAATCATACCGTGTAACAGAAAACACCTTATAAGCGCTATATGCGAATCTGCGGAGTCCTCCATATGACCATCGAACAAACGCCGATACACAGGGGAAATGGAGAGTATCATATTATACATGAGTAAATAAAACAAAATGGTGTATATCTACATATCGTAACAAGAAGAGAAGAGAGAAACAAGGAACATCATGAAGTGGTCCGTTCCGCCTGTCGTTTCGCTGCTTCATCTTCAGCCTTCATCTCCTCCCACATTGCGGCAAAGTCTCCTTTGAACGAGTCTTTGGCTGGGTCTAGCCGCACATCCCAGACATCCTCACTGCTGGGGCCTGTCTTGTACTTAATCGACTTCTTCCGGTTGTGGTCTCGGATCTCTCTCCTGCGCAAATCCTCCGGCCAAGTTCGTGTCTTCATGCACAGCCATAGATTATCCCAGTGATCGCTGCATGAACGTAGTTCTCCATATCGATAAACATTCACAAATTGACCCCCGAAAGACTGACAGAAGAAGGCGTAGTCGAACGCATTGCGGCAGGACATGGTATCTTGGTAGAGGGATTCGGGGGAGATGGGTGATTGGGATCCTGGCGACGGATTGCCATCGGGGGTCAGGCCTGTTCGTTGTGAGAGCGACGCATCCTCGGCTCTGAGATCGGCCAGGATTTGGTTGAATTCCAGGTCGGCTTGTTCGTCGGGGGTCAGGGTCTTCGATGGTGGATTCTGCTTTGCTGGTTCTGTAGGAATTGCGGATGGGATATCCTTGGGAACATCGTTGGAAACATCCTTGGGACTTGATCCCCACAGCCAGCCCATTTTGTTTTGCAAGAGGAAAGAATTGGTGAATCTATCGCGACAACTTGAAATCGCGAGGTTATCTTTTTCGCGGTAATCAATATGTCATGTGACTCCGATAACCAGTCCCGATAACGAGGTAAACGAGTCACGAGCCGACGTCATCAATTTGGGCAAGTCGATTTAAACAACTTTGATCGCTCTTTCAACTTTGTTTTTTATTTCTGTTTTTATTTCTGCTCTAGTCGGTATGTGTCTATAGTCAGAATGAGATCGACAACCTTATCAAAAGGTCCGTTGGCCCTTTGGTCTCCGATACGCTCTCGTATCAGCGCCAATGCCTCCCGGGGGTGGAGACCTCCGCTTCGGAGACGCTCAACGATACGATACACATCTTCTATCCAGTCGGGGCATATTTCACTAGGAGAAAATGAAGGGATTGTCTATGTCAATAGTGAGCGCCAAGTTATGGCGAGCTATCATGTCTATGCACTAACTAGCTCTAGATATATTTCCGCACCGATTACAATGGCTGCTGCGGGGACCCCTCAGTCATATCCAGCCTCTCGAGGGATTTTTGACACGAGTCAACAACCCAGAACTAGCGGCAGCTGATCCTATTCGTATTGTTCAACGAGCCTTGCCCAAAGACCTAGGTCTAGAGATCAAAGAGGTCATAACGAGGTACAAAGAGGGAGGCGCATTCGTGAAGTATGCGCTCAAGTCGGACATCAGCAACGAAAGTATTCAAAATGCAATCAACGAGCATTTGAAAACCAATCCCATTAAGCCCTGGTTTAACCCAATCTTGAAAGTCGATGTAGACCTCGTTCGCGGAACGCCGTGGATCGAAGACCTATATCGAATCCCAAGTCAGACCCTAAAGGTGGAATTCTTGCCGACATCCCCAGATAATTCAGCGGTCGAATTAACTCAAGAGTCCCTATACTCAATGTTCCGACCTTACGGCAAAATTCTGGACATCCAAACACAGCCCTCAGATTCGAAGGTCGAACCGCGATATGCAATTCTGCGATTCGAGCGCCCCCGTTTCGCTGTGATGGCAAGAAACTGCATGCATGGATTTATTGTCTCCGAAGAAGCAGGGGGTGGCAAGTCCGGTACAAGGTTCAAGATCAACTACGAGCGCAAGATCAAGCTGTTTATGATCAGGGATTGGATTTTGAACCATCCGAGACTAGTGATCCCTGCTATAGCTGCTCTGATAGCTACCATTACGGTCATCATCTTCGATCCGATTCGCACGTTCTTCATCACACTCAAAGTCAAGTCGTCGTTCCAGAGTGAAGAGAATCCAGTGCTACAGTGGATTCGAAAACAAGCCAGCAAAGCGAGCATGTTCCCATTTGGGAAGCGAAAGTCGGACCCGCGAGGTCTAGCGGCTATTTGGGAAGACCGACAGGCAGAGATTGCACAACTGCGAGCCTGGTTAACGGAGACCGCGGAGACCTTCATTGTTATCTATGGTCCTCGGGGCTCAGGGAAACGCGAGCTGGTTTTGGAACAAGCTCTGAAAGAGCACAAGTATAAAGTTATCATTGACTGTAAGCACATTCAGGATTCTCGGGGTGACACAGCCAGAATTTCACGAGCAGCCGCTCAAGTCGGGTACCGACCGATCTTCTCTTGGATGAATAGCATCAGCAGCTTCATTGATATTGCTGCACAAGGAATGATCGGCACCAAAGCTGGCTTCTCCGAGACGCTAGATGCGCAGTTGAGCAAGATCTGGCAGAATACTGGTGTCGCTCTGAAACAAGTTGCCTTGGAAGGTAGACGAAAGGAGGACAAGGATTTCAACATGTCCGAAGATGAATACCTGGAGGCTCATCCCGAGGCGAGACCTGTCGTTGTAATTGACAATTTCCTCTATGACGCGGATGATAGTGTCGTGCTCGACAAACTTACCGAATGGGCGGCTGGTCTGACATCCGCAAACATCGCTCATGTCATCTTCTTGACGACTGATTCCTCTTTTGCAAAGCCATTGAGCAAAGCCATGCCTAATCAAGTGTTCCGCACAATTGCCCTGGGTGACTGCTCACTAGAAGTTGGTCGTCGTTTCGTGTTGAGTCATCTGGATGCAGAGGCAGGCGATGGTCACCATGAACAGAATGCAAGGCGCAGAGAGACGCTTCGTGGCTTGGATTACTGTATCAAGATGTTAGGTGGTCGAGTTACTGACTTGGAATTCATGGCGCATCGTATTGAGGCTGGAGAGACCCCTGAAGGTAAGATTATCTTTGGTTCTCACCTCGGGGATTTTACTAACTATTTTATTTAGCTGCCGTGGACCGTATTATTGAACAGTCGGCGTCTGAAATTCTGAAGATATTCATACTCGGAACAGAGTCGATTGCAACCCAATGGACCCATGAGCAGGCGTGGCATCTGATCAAGTCTATGGCCCATTCCAAGGATGGAACCCTGTTGTATAACAAAATCCTTCTCGACGATATATTCAAGGACAACGGCGAGGCCACTCTCCGGGCACTCGAGCAAGCAGAGCTCGTCTCCATTGGAACGGATAGAGGATTCCCACGATACATCAAGCCGGGCAAACCCGTGTATCGCGCTGCTTTCCAACGTCTAGTTGCGAATAAGACCCTGCAGGGCCGTCTTGATCTCTTAATTCTCTCACAGCTCATTGGAAACGAGAATTCAAGTATCATGAAGTATGAACAGGAGCTACAGGTCCTTGGCTCGCTGCCAAAACACCCCTGGGAGTTAACCTCGCGGATTGAATGGCTTCTGCGCAAAGTTCACGCATCGCAGTCGAAGATTCTCAAGTATGAGAATGAAAGTGCTGCCTTGTCAAAGGGTTTGCAGAAGGAGAATTGAGCTTTTAGCTACTGTATTAATCTCATCTCAATATCCCTCCATTACTAATAACAATATGTTACTGAAGCCAGTCCTTTCTTTGTTTGAGTCCTGCTCCTATGAGTTCAAAATTATCATGGGTATAGTAGTAGATAAACCCGAATGGCATAGTCCATTAAGCCCTTTCGGTCAAAGCCTTCTTGGCACCTATCTTTTATCCTAAGTGTTGTTTATTAACTATGGTATCCCTAGCCATATATGTAGTGCTCCATGATCTACTCTATGATCGGCCCCATAGTGATGCCTATAGGGCGAATTTGCCAGGGTTAATTAAGCCTTGGCACTCACAATGAAAAGCTCTAACTAACTAGTTAACTAGTTATATAACTACCAATTACTAATTGTCCATTATCCCATGCATATATGTTTGCCATTGGCTGGTTTGTTTGAATTGTTTGCTACCGAATGGTTTTATAGGGTATATAAACCCTTCCTCCGTAGATTTCTACTTCTTCTTCTGCTTTCTCCCTACTATAGTATCCACTATGATGAATGCTTCATTTTTTGCTATATTTTATGCTCCACTAACTATGCCTACCCACCTGTCTATCGATGGTGCCATCCACCTGCCTATCGATGATGCCACCCACCTACCTGTTGATGATACTATCTACCTACCTATCGATGATGAATGGCCTTATGCTCCCCCCCCACCGGTCAAGGGGCGAGTATCCGAGACAGTTGATGATGCTTTTAACTGGATGGGTGACTGGGCAGCAGCATAAGGGTATGCTATTTCAAAGAAGCGCTCATATACTGCTCCCAATGGTATCATCTCTAAGCTATGGTTTCACTGCCAACGTAGCCAGCCATCAAGGGACCGGCGAAAACCCCCAATTGATAGTATCATCGATAGGCAGGTGGGTAGGCATAGTTAGTGGAGCATAAAATATAGCAAAAAATGAAGCATTCATCATAGTGGATACTATAATAATAGGGGTTTATATACCCTATTAAAACCATCTAAACAAAGGCTTATTCGGTATCAAATAATGTAAACAAACTAGCAAACCTATACATATATGTATGGGATAATTGGGGTCAAAATTAATGGACAAACAGGTGTGGACTATGCCATTAGGGATTTTGCTGTGCCAATATATATACTATGTAGTACTAGTTATAGATCTGTTGTAGTTAGTATAAACGTGAACTAAATGATTCAAATGTTGTCAGTTTTGATCCAACTATTTCACAATATTCTATCAGAATCCTCCATCATTCTTATATTAAAGTAAAATCACCATCTATTTTGAAAATATTCAAAATAAAAGAAAAAGAGAATTTCAAACAAAAATAACACTCAACTGCCCAGGTCCACTGCCCACCGTGAGACTCAAGCTTAGTCAGCCAGAAAAAGACACCTCCGTTTGCCATCGTGTCCCTTCACCCTTCACCTGGATATATTGATAGTTGAGAGTCTCTGAAGTGAATCGATTCAAATTGCCTGTCATACCATATTATCTACCTCGAGGCCCTTGAGTGGATGCTGGCGCTGTAAAACCGTGCTATCTTGCCTGACAGGGGTTGTTTTGGGCAACTTTGATTCAACCACAATGGAAAGACACAAAGTCTCAAGTCTTATACAGGCCGTTCGTGAGAAATATTTCGGTGTAAGTTGGTTAACGGTTTTTACTGTGGTGGTGTTGGTATGCATCACCACCCGGATTATCTCGGGCTTTCAAAGTCGACGTGAGCGAGACCCTTCAAAATCACAGACGGTGCGACTAGCACCTTATTGGTTTCCCTGGATTGGACATGGCCCTGCCTTCTTATGGAATCATGTCACCTTCTTTACAAGAACTCGGTTAGTCTTTCACTATATTGCCATTCTATGTGCCTGCTAATAAGGTTATAGGGAATCTATGAATGAGCCTGTGTTTGGCATTTACATTCGCGGTGTGAAGCACAATGCTGTGGCTTCTCCATCTATGATGAAGACTGTATTATCGGTCAAAGCTGCCACGCCACACAACCAGGTGCTCGATCAGGCTCTGCAAAACGTCTTTGGCGACCGCAGCCTCATCCGCAATCTGGATTTTGATCGTCATCAAGGAGTTAACGACCAGGCTTCTACCATTCTCAACGAAGAGGCTTTTGTCACTGAAGCTTCGTCTACTATTACCCGTTTGGTACAGCGTGAGATGCCGAACCTGGTGAGCTTCTGCCGGAGCATCGTTGACCAATATCCCTGGGAGCGTGGAACCAGTGGAGTTGAACTTCCCGAGGATGGGGACCAGACAATCTGCGAGGCCAATTTGTTTGCACTCGTGGGCAATTTCATTGGTCACGTTACTTCTACTTTCCTGATGGGTGAGGCGTTCGTGGAGAATTTCCCTAATCTCGCAGAAGACCTTGGAAGACTCGACGATTGCTTTGTGACATTGTTTGCCGGCACTCCTCGCTGGGCCCCGCATCCAGCGGCTTCTGCAGGGCATGCGGCCAGTGATCGGCTTCGCCATATCTTTTCGGTCTTTCACCGAGCTTTTACCGCTTGGGACGATGGGATTGACGCTGGCATTGAATTACGTGACCTTGATGATGTCTCTGAACTGGTCAAAGATAGGATGCGGACTTTCCGTAAATTGGAGCTATCTCCAGGTGCCAGTGCTGCAGGGCACTTGTCTCTGTATTATGATCTGATTGAACACACGACCAAGATCACTTTTTGGACAATTACTCATCTCTTTGCCGAACCTTCACTTCTCGATCAAGTCCGCAAAGAGATTGCCCCTTATGTGGTGGCTTCCAGGCCAACTCGGGAGGAAACCGGTTTCCCCTTCGATGAACCTCCTCGTCTCTCTCTGGATATTGAAAAAGTGCTCACATCTTGCCCTCTATTCCGAGCGTGTTACTATGAGACTGTGCGCCTTCATTCGGCGGGAATTTCGTTCAAGAAGCTGGCGTCTGATGTGACACTTTCCGAGTCGGCAGAAGAAGCTGCCTATGGTCTGACAGAGCCCCGTACATACAAAGTTGCAAAGGGCGAGGATATCATTGTGCCCCATGGTGCCCATTATCACGATGCTCGATACTTCTCAAATCCGGAGCAGTATGATCCCCTGCGATTTCTCGTGACTGATCCTGAAACGGGAAAACAAGTGGCTGATTCAAGCATCCTTGCCCCCTTTGCGGACGGATTGTATGGGTCGACAAACAATGGCTTTACCGAGAGAGCTATCTTAACTTTCACTGCTGGTATTGTGGCCTTGTGGGATATTGAACCCACAAGTGGTAAATTCCTCTCAGTTCCAGGGCATAAGACTAGCTGGGGAGCTTTCCGACCTACCAAGGAGTTGCGGGTGAAGATGAAATTGAGAGTATAGATTGTATTTGAAGCATTGGGCATTTTGATTATAGAGAAATCCTTCTAAAATCTAATTTTATATCCGCTCGGATTAATATCCGGATCGGCCTTGCACCGATGACACCATCCACTAGGAGAAAGGGAATATATAAGTCGCCTAATTAAGGCCGTTCTAATTAGTTCCTCTGTAGTCTTTTTTGTCGAATTGTTATTCAAATCGAAGAAATCAAGAAAACACAATCAAATGGACGAACAGAACCCCAACGGGGATTACGATCTCACCACTCCAATCACATCCACATCCGGACTTCGCCAGGGTCTAACATCCTATGGAGATGCTCATTTCTCCCTCTTTCTCCGTAAAGTATTTATCAAGGCACTCGGATATTCAGAAGATGCGCTTTCACGTCCCATCGTGGGTATCATCAACACTTTCTCAGGGTTCAATCCCTGTCATGCCAATGTGCCCCAGCTTATTGAGGCGGCCAAGCGCGGCGTACAACTAAATGGAGGACTGGCGATAGAATTTCCTACCATCAGCGTTGCCGAGTCATTCTCGCATCCAACTAGCATGTTCTTGCGGAATCTTATGAGCATGGATACGGAGGAGATGATACGCGCCCAGCCGTTAGATGCTTGTATAATGATCGGGGGTGAGTTTTAATAGCTTTTTTCTTTTTTTTCTTTTTTAATATTGACGTCCTGTTATGTGGGAATAGTCGTTGATAGAATTTAGGGTGCGATAAAACCGTTCCTGCTCAGTTGATGGGTGGCATCTCTGCCAACAAGCCAATCCTACCACTGATCACCGGTCCAATGATGCCAGGAAGCCACCGCGGTCAGCGTATTGGAGCCTGCACTGATTGCCGAAACAACTGGGCGGCTTTTAGAGCGGGTGAAATTGACATTGAGGAAATCTCGGCCATCAACGAAGAGCTTGCTCCAACGGTATGTGCTGATGCATTCTCATTAGATGCAAGATCATTCAGCTCGCTAACCAGAATGGCTACTGGCTTAGATAGGGACATGCGGTGTCATGGGAACTGCTAGTACAATGGCTTGTGTGACTGCTGCGTTGGGTATGATGCCGCTTCGGGGTGCAACTGCACCAGCAGTATCATCCGCAAGATTGCGAATTGCCGAGGAGACTGGCGCAAATGCAGTTGCAATTGCAAATTCTAAGAGAAAGCCACAGGAGATTTTGACAAAGGAATCATTCTGGAATGCCATCACAGTACTCCAGGCTATCGGGGGTTCGACAAATGCCGTTGTTCACCTGCTCGCTATTACAAATAGGCATCCAGAACTGCAGGGAGTCATCACTTTAGATACCATTGAGGAGATTGGCTGCAAAACTCCGCTGTTAATTGACCTCAAGCCGAGTGGAGATAACTATATGAATGATTTCCACAATGCAGGAGGCATGATGGCGCTGTTGCAGGTGCTTCGGCCCTTGCTCCATTTATCTGCTGTGACAATTTCCGGGCAAACTCTCGGTGAGGTCCTCGATACATCTCAATCCAAGCAACTTTCCTTTTCGCAACAGATTATTCGGCCAATGTCGGACCCTTTGTTTCCCGCATCATCCTTGGCTGTTCTGCGTGGCAATCTTGCCCCAGATGGAGCGGTCCTCAAAGCCTCAGCGTCAAAATATCGGCACTTACTTTCGCACACTGGGCCGGCTGTAGTGTTTGAGAATTCGGCCGACCTTGCCCGGCGGATCGATGATCCAAACCTTGTTGTCACGAAGGATAGTGTGTTGGTCCTAAAGAACATTGGCCCGGTTGGCAACCCAGGTATGCCAGAGGCTGGCCTTATACCGATTCCAAAGAAGCTAGCGGAGGAAGGAGTTAAGGACATGCTACGGCTTTCAGATGGTCGAATGTCAGGGACCGCGGGCGGAACCATTATCCTCCATATCTCACCTGAAGCTGCGCTGCCAGAGTCACCATTTGGCGTGGTGGAGACTGGTGACTTGATTATTTGCGATATCGAGACTAGAAAGTTGCACTTGGAAGTTTCCGAGGCAGTATTACAGACTCGAATCGAGAGACGCAGGCAGAGTCTTGCGGGAGAGACACAGGCAAGAAAGCAGAGGAGAGGCTACCGCGGGTTATATGAGCGATCGGTGAATCAAGCACAAGAGGGAGCAGACTTTGATTTCTTAACAGCTGGAGGTGCCAGCACATAAAATCTATTTCAGATTCAGATACAAATCCAATATTAAACAATATGGCCGTTGATCAAATCGAACTTTTCGGAATATCTGGAGAAAGGGCGGCCCTTACCCTGAGCCCTGAGCCCTATTCCATTACCCAATTGGGTTAAATCAATCAACGCGCGTAACGCGAACGCGTCTGACCTTGCAGATCCCTGGCCATTTGCGATCCACCAGATTAAGATCGAGAACGATGCTCCAGACTTTCTAGTTGCAAGTTGATTGAATTATCTACCCCAGGTCTCATTTACAATGAGTTTCGACCCTCTTCGCCCGCGGGGGCGTCCAGCCCGTAAGTCATCCTGATTACCTAGGGAGACTCCAATAGTTACTGATAACACGGCTTTCACATAGACACACCCGGCACCACGATACTAGCCTACACACCTGACGGACGACGGATCATTACTGGTGGTTCCAACTCGGCAATTCGTATCTACACGGTCGGCGAAGATGGAGAGCCCAAGACCATCGACGAAGGTGTTGACGCGCATTTCGGCATTGGTGCTACAGTATGTTGGAACATAATATTCACGATCCATAGAAGGGACTGACAGGATTGCTAGAATCGGTCTTTCATCATGGGTGCCGAGGATGGAACGGTCTGGAAGTATGACATTATGTCGGGCAAGATGCAAAACTTGCTTGTACGATGCGCTTTGCCGGTTCGGGACATTGCAGTGACGAGAGACGGGGAATGGGTTGCAGTAGCAAGCGAGTAAGACTTGCAGGGATTGTGCTAGATATATGTTTCGATACTAACATTGGTGGACTAGTGAGCTAACAGTCAAGATCGTGAAAGTCGACGACATGACGCAAGTCAAGTATCTCCGGGAACAGTCCAAAGGAACAAAGCATGTCACATTCGATCCCAGTGGCCGGTATGCAACCGTATCCGGAACAGATGGAATCCTCTATATATACTCCATGCACGAAGAGGAGCCGGAACTAGTCCGCAAACTCGATGGGGTGATTAGACGACTGGAGCCAGATGCCGAGGCAACATCGAGAGCAGTGTGGCATCCCGATGGTACTGCATTTGCTTCTGCGGAAGCGACCAGAGATATCTCTATCTACTCAACCTCGGAGTGGAAGAAAGAGAAAACATTCGCTGGCGGTCATTCTGGCGACATCACAGCCTTGAGCTGGGCTCCGAATGGATCTCTTCTGGCATCTGCAGCGGCAGATGGATATATTGTGCTATGGGAAGCAAAGACACAAAAGATCTTGCAGCGCTACGACTTTGGACATGTTATGAACCTATCTTGGCACCCGACCAAGAACTCGCTTTCATTCACAACTTCAGATGGAGAGCTTTTTATTTACGATAACTTTGTGCCGAAGGATCACGAGTCTCTGCTGCAGAAACCGCTGCAGGCTGCTCCTATCTTGCCCGGACCTCTGGGCGAGATCTCCAACAATGTTGGGCGAACCACACTCGCGGAGCGGTCCAAGGAGGCCATCCAGCGAGCGGCGAGAAGAGGAAGTCCAGACTCGTTGGATGATATTCTTGGTGAAGATGACCAGATGATCGATTTCGTCGAGGATGATGATGGAGCTGGCTATGCCGACGAGGAGCTAAATTTGTATGGAAAGCGGCCAAACGATCATCTCGATGATCTCGGTGGCACAAGCAATAAGCGCCTTTACTCTGGCCTCGAGAAGCCCAAGGCCCACCCGCCCCTTCAACCCGGTAGCACGCCTTGGGCTGGGAGCAGGAGATATCTCTGTATGTTCTTGTTCCAACTTCATTGAACTGTATTTGCTAACTTGACCAGGCCTGAATTTGACGGGAGCTGTCTGGACGGTTGACCAAGAGACACATCACACTGTTACTGTGGAATTCTATGACCGAGAAGCCCACCGAGACTTCCACTTCACTGATCCATATATGTACGACAAGGCTTGTCTAAGTGAGTTTTCCACTTATCTCATCTTTTTGTGTTGCACTTTTGACTGATCAAGTATAGATGACAACGGAACACTTTTTGCCAATAACCCTTCGGATGGTAGTCGAGCCACTATCTTCTACCGGCCACACGAGACGTGGACTACGCGAGCAGACTGGCGGACTGAACTGCCCGAGGGAGAACAAATTCGAGGTGATATGTGAACCCACTCTACTCAATCTATTAATCCCACTAATGCTCGTTATCAGCTCTGGCACTCAGCGATTCATACATTGTCGCTGTGACATCAAAGGACTATGTTCGAGTGTACACACTCTTTGGAACTCCTTTCAAGGTGTATCGACAGAAGAGCCAAGCCGTGACTTGTTCGGCCTGGCGCGACTACATTATGAGTATCGGGAACGGCCCTATAGGGATTGATGGCCACACGACTTTACGATACACGGTGGAGAATGTCAAACGCGACGAGATTTGCCAAAACGAAGACACTGTCGCCCTTCCGGAAGGGGCTTCACTACAGAGTGTTTTCTTCTCCGATAATGGAGTGAGCGTCATCTGAACAGAAGAGTTGAATATGGAGTTAATCATCTTCTTAGGATCCTTGCATCTATGACTCGACTGGTGTCCTACTAGTTCTGCAACACTGGCGCACACCCGGCCAAGCCCGATGGGTACCACTCCTGGACACGAAACAAATGGCACGTCTCGCAGGAGGACGTAAAGAAGAGACATACTGGCCAGTAGCTGTCGCACAAGACAAGTTCCACTGTATCATTCTCAAGGGTGGCGACAAGAACCCTTACTTCCCGCGGCCACTACTCAGTGAATTCGACTTCCAGGTCCCGGTTTCCAGTGCTCTTCCAAAGGACTCCAGCGAATCCGAAGACACGGCAGCCGAAAGTACCCGTTTCGAGGAATCTTTCGTACGTGGAAACGTACTTTTGTCGCTCTTCCGCGACCTTCTCTCGTCGACCAATGCGACGGCAAGCCAGCGTTCTGATTTGGCACGGAGGGAGCTCGACTTGGATAAGAATTTGCTGCAGATGCTGGCCATTGAATGCAGAGAGGGTGAGGAGCGTGGTATGAAGGCGCTAGAGCTGGTGGCCTTAATGACAGACCGCAACGGTAAGATGCTCGAGGCGGCTGCTAAGATTGCCCAACGTTATGGACGTGGTGTTCTAGAGGATAAGATCCGCGATCTGGCTGAACGCCGTGTCATGGGAATGGGAGATGATGATGAACTAGCTTGAGGGGATTATGAATTAATACTTTTGGAATTAGTTCCCACTATCAGCCCTGTAGACCTGTAGACTGTAAATGTGTTATATTGGCATATTGTTATATTGTTATACATATAACTATGTAACTATTCATTAGATTGTAGTAATGTAGTGAGTAGGGAAGTATATAAAATTGTATACCAGAGCATCCTCATTGGCTCCCGCAACGTCATTTCCTCCGACTCCCCCGTCTCCGCGACTCCGAACAACTTCAACCTTTCATATCTACATGGCTTGACAACACATTAAAACCAGACTGCTGTTGAAATGCAGGATGCCGAAGCTGGTCTCTCTGCGCAAGTCTCTTCCCAATCAGCCGAAGAGCCTTGTCTCTGGTCGGCTTTTTGCTTCGGTTTCGCGACAGCGACTGGCGCAACTTCGTCATGGGCTTCTCAATGAGCCCTGGCTACCTCCAGCCTCAACTACGCCTTTACCAACCACATACTTCTCCCCGACTTGGGTGCGAAGGGAGCATGGGGACTGCCCTCGGAGAACCGATCATAAGCCGCCAGATGAAAGGACCTTGAGACTGGGAAAAAGTGTGTACTTGTTATTTTCTCACTTTTTCTTATATATAGAAAAGCTGTCCAACTAACGATTGAAGCTTTACGAACCCTCTCGCCCCTCTTACCGACCATCTTGTACAACACCTTACCCACCGAAATCCTCGCCCCGAGTGTCAATCTTCACCTCTTCCCATCCACACATCCACACCTCCCCACTGTCAAAGGACGCACACTCTATCGCGCAGCACTATGGACTGTCCCGGTAGCATGGAGTAGCGTACCATTAGTCGGCAATGTGAAATTACAAATTCTCAGCGAAAGGATCGTACGCGCCGGGACGCTGCTCGACCCCACGCGTCACGGCGCCCATCACGACTGCGGCGATGAGCGCCTACTAGTACGATGGAAAACCGAACCACGAACAGATAGTCGCCCCTTCCATGGCCCAACGTCTTCAAATACCAATTCTACAACCTCGAAAACTGCCCCATCCCAAAATAGCCATCTCTCGGCTTCCACAAACGGTACCAACAAAGGCTTGAGTGTCCTTCTCGGTGGTGAAGAGCCTATTTTCAAACTGTCAAAAGAAGAGCAATTCACCGGTATCTTTATCTTCTCATTCGATGAGGAGGGTCGTATCCTGACTCATACTATCGAACATGCCAATGAAGCGGACGGCTGGGACCGGACTGCTAAATTTGTGACTCTCACTGACTGGCTCATTGGCAAAGCACGTGGCTCGTTGGACCCAGCTCTCAATACTGGACTTGCCATGGCAACTGGTCAAAATCATGGGGTTGCTTCTGGTAATGACCGGGAATTGTGACTGACTGCACCCTCATATGCAATCACACCTTGGGTGAATCTCCTATGAAATGAGAGAAATCCCCGAAGGTAATGGAAGAACGTACAATGACCGCTGTGTTTATATTCTTTTCTTTCGTTTTTGTTCAAGGTGCACCTGGGCAACGGCATCTGGTGATGAGTACCAAAGGACCGTTTTGGCATTGAACTCCTCTCTTTCACTCGGCCTTGTCTTCTGCCATCCTTGAGACATACCATCGCCACTCTTCTGTACATTATACCCTAGACTAAACAAATCAGAAATCCAACAAAATCACATGTCGAACATGGAACACATCCTTCTGTAACTTGAAAGCGAAATTCATCTATATACCTACGTACATTACTCAGTCTTTTTGTGCACAGCAGGCGACTTCAAAAAGCCAAAAACCGCCAGTGTAACGACACACATAGCAAACCCGCCAGCAGTATAAGCAGCCTCACGACCAGCCCACCAGAACAGAGAGCAGAACAGAATAGGACCAGTCGCCCTACCGGCCTGCCCCCAACCCCGCAAACGACCCATAACCGCGCCGCGGTCTGCGTCTTGAGCCTCAAAGCTGCCTAGGCTGTTGAGTGACGTGACAACCGTGGCGGTTGTTACCGCCAGCAGAGCACCGGCAGCATAGAGACCCGAAGGCGAAGAAACACGAGCAAGACAGAAGAATGAGATAGTACAGGCCACAACACCCGCACGGAGGGTGACTAGCGGCGGGAGACGGCGCACCAGCGTACCCTGAAGGAGGGAGGCGATCAAGCCCATCAGGGACAAGAGACGTCCGTTCAATGCAGCCGGGCTGGCTGTTGTGGCTGATCCCTCGTAGAGCGTTGTAGTCAAGAAAGGGAGGGAGAACTCCAGACCGGAGAAGGGGAGTAGGAAGAGGAAGTGGAGGGCGTTGAGAAGGGCCGGGTTGTTTGTATGGGTGCGTTTAGTGGACGCACTGCTCTTCTCTCCTGTTGTCTTCTTACTCGACGCATCATTCTTCTTGGTAGAGTTAGTCTCGCCCTCCATCTGAAGCGTGGTTAGGCGGGGATGCGTCTCGGGCAAACAGGTCCAAAGATACACAGTTTCAATAAAGATCAGAACAAAGGACACAATTGCAGCGACGATGAATGGGTTCTCGGAAACCAAATCAATACTACTGAGTGCCGCACCGAGCGCTGGCCCAAACGTGAATGCGACACTGAAACAGGCCCCAATTAATGCCATGGAGGAGCCGCGGCGCTCGTCGTCTGTGATATCTGCCACTATGGCATTGGCCATTTGCACATTTGCTTCGCTCAAGCCACCAACTATACGACTGGCGAGGAACATGCGGAAGTCTGTGGCTGACACCCACAGCGCAACGCTCAAGAGGTTGCCTAGCATGGAGGTGAGCAGGGCACGGCGGCGGCCATGGCGGTCAGATAGGCGACCTATGACGGGTGCGGCGAAGGCTTGGAGGAGGGAGAACAAAGAGCCAAGGGCTCCGCCGAGGAGTACGATGTCATAGCGCGAGTCAATGGGGCGTGCGAAGGAGTTTTTGTAGGCGTTTAGATAGTGGAAGATGCGGTTGAGGAGGGAATCCGGGGAGGGATCTTGCGCGCGATAGAACGATAGCAGCGAAGGGAAGAGGGGCAGAATAAATGTAAAGGAGATCTACAGGCACTGTTAGTTTAAGTAAACGTGATTGTTGGCTTAGAGGGGTTAGCTTTGTCTTACCAAATCTAACAGCAGCGATAGTATCAACACCTTCAGCACCTCCTTTCGTTGGGCGCCAGCGATGGCCATTGTTGCTGGCGCCGTGTATACAATCGAAGATGTAAGAAAGTGTCCAGAAGCAAAAAAAATGTGCAAAATGACAAAATATCGAGAAGTTGACACTTGTACAAAGAGTACGGAGTACAAAGATTATTTTTAATCAGATTGAATACGCCAGGAGCTCCACTAGCCGTCGGTACTCATTTCCTATCGTGGTTTAGCGCCTGGCCCTGAAAACGGGTTTCATTCAAGAATACACTAGTAATAAACAAATACGCGTATTTTAAGCGTATTCAGTTATTTTCATTAAGTCATACTACATACTATAATTAATTGCTCTGCATTTGATTCGGTCTGTTGTAATATCATTACATTAAGCTAATGCAAACTAGGTTAGGACCTGTGGGGATATCACATCACGTGCCAGTATTGGGCGGCGTTGTATACACTACGTCTAGTTATACATTCAACACAGATGGATTGATTATTGCCCACCTGTTCAAGTAGTAAACCTTGTTCTGTCACATTAAACTGGCCCATAATAAAACATGATGTTGTCTAGAAGAAATCCTGGAAAGTAATGGTGCACTCATTATGATCAATTTCGATCTATGCCCGACCTAAGCCTGTCCACCGGTCCGTTCACAAGCGCCGATAAAACAATAACCATAGAATACATATGTATGTCGTGGGAGAAGCTCTCTGGGGATCGGGAATATGCACGCTGAAAAAAAATTTGCAGGACATGGTCAAGAAGACTTTGGCAGAGCCAGACGAAGAGATCAAAGTGACTCTCCGTGAAGAAAATTCGTTGCGTTCGTGAGCCATCACATCGGACCAGAAATTGCCGAGGCCAGTCTCGAAAAGATAGACCTAGAAATCCCTCGTTGGAACACCACTTTCGAGACAAGATCCCAAAACCAGGAAGTTCCAACTGATATCCCAGGATTGCCACTCTTACTCGCTGGCGGCAGGAGCTTCCGCCGAGCCAGAGGCAGGGCCACTTGCACCGCCTCGGCCACGTCCACCACGACCGCCTCGGCGTCCACCACGTCCACGACCCTCACCAGCACGGCCCTCACCACGGCCCTCACCAGCACGACCCTCACCACGGCCCTCACCAGCACGCTTAGCGTCATTCCGGCCTCGGCCACCACGCTGTCCGTGACGGCGGCGTCCACCAGACTTGGCACCGTTCTCGCCCTGAGTTGTAATTTCAGCGCCAACAGAACCGTTGTTCAAACCCGCATCGGCGATAGCTGGAGTAGCCTGGAGGCCAGTGTCGGTCTCATCAGGGTTGCGAGGAAGCTTGACCCATTCACCGCTCTCATCGGTAGTAGGAGCCCAGGTTTGCTCCGCAATCGGGTTTCCCGCATCAGAAACCAGAGTCTGCGCAGGAGGGGCCAGCTGATCAGCCTCGGAAGCTGCAGGCTCAGCCTGAGCGCCGAAAGAGGTATCCTGGAGCTCGGTCAATCCAGCGTTGGCCACGGTAGGGTCGGTCGTAGGGACGGTGGTGGGGGTTGCCTCCGAGACAACTTCAGTAGTCTCCTCAGGAGGAGCGAACTTATCAGATGCTTGCTTCACATCGCCATCTAAAGAACCCGAATGTTAGCCAGCACATTCAATGATATTTGGTGGTCGGGGGTGGGGTGGGGTTGTGGGTGGGGGATTCATTACTGACAGGTAAAGTCAAGTGTGGTCCCCTCAACAGCATTGACCTTCTCATCAGCACCCTCGGCAATCTTCAGTAGCGAATTGACTGCAGACTGGTTACCAGCATACACCTCGAACAGCACACCCTCGAAAGCACGACTCTCGGTGGTGACAGCATCACCGTCGCGTCGAAGGATGGCCGCGGCGCATAAGAATTTAGTCACGGTGTAGAACTGCTGGCGCAGTGACTTCTTACAGGCCTCGGTTGCATCAGCAATGGCGTTATTACGGACAGCTTCAAGCTCCGCCTCATGCGCCTTGACAAGCGCAGCCTTTTGAGCAACCAAGCGGTCCTCGTATTGGACAGCGAATTGTTTGTAGTGACCAATCTGCTCCTCGGCCTGGGCAATAGTGGCCTGAAGGGTAGGCTTCTTCAGGACCTGGGCCTTCTGGTCGTTGTTGATCTTCTTCTCCTCAATCAGTTCATCAAGCGATTTGTCGGGGTTTTCAGCGATGATGGTGTCGACTTTGGCGAGGGAATTCTAATCAAGAAGAAAAGAGCAATGTTAGAAATGTATGTAAGATATAATTGAAACCAGAGAGCATTCAACAATGACTCACCAACTTCTTCATGGCATTGCGAAGTGTCCTAAACGGGGCATACGGTTAGCTCACTTTCACACGCGCGCGCAGGCAATAACCGTGCAACCAGACATAGGATTTTAGACATACTTCTGTAGCTCCTTCAAATAGCTGCTCTCTTGGCCATCAGAGATGGGACTCTCGGGGTCCTTACAGACGCTTGAAGCTTGGGAGCCCTTCCCCTCGTCTTTGAGCTTCTGGGTAGCGGAAGCGGGAGGCATAATGGGAATGTGGGTAACACAGTTATTAAAGTATTTCCGAAAAGCTTGTACAGGTCTGGAATGAAGAATTAAACGTGATAACGTTGAAGAAAAGATGGATGTTATGAAGGAAGAATCAACATGCGGGTCGGGAACCCTTTCTTGGTCGGTGTGGCCCACTGCCTTGGGGCTCTCTCTCTCTTTACGCGTTGTTAGCACGCGAGTTCAGCAATTAAGCAATTAAGCAATTAAACAATTAAACAATCACAGCACTGGCCTGTATATCTACAAACAAACAATTTACTAGGTAAACTGATTCATTATTTGATCATTTCTTCCATTGTATTTCCCCAGGGTATCATAGTTATTCACTTTCACCCACAACGCCATAATATCACAAAATGCAAGCCAATCTTAGTACAGTATCCCCTTGCCTTTCATATCCATGCTAGGCAGGTCTTTGTCATAAATGACAAGATCGAGGTTATATCCTGGGCTCTGCTATCCTTGGAATTTGCGCAGTGTTTTCTAAAGAAACCCCATACTTGTCAGCTATATGTTCTCACGAGACTTCCAGAGAAGCTTTCAGATCGACCTCGAATAACGTACCTCGGTGACTTTGCGCACAGTATTCGCTGAGATATTCTTCTCCCCAGATTTACGCGACCGAATGGATGCTTCGCGCATTAGCCTACAGTGTGTTAGCCCATTGCTAGTTCAATCACGGCGGCGAGAACGCAAATCGGAGGGTTGTTGCAGGTGGACCAAGCTACAAGCATAGACGGAGACGCACTCTTGCATGAATAGCATGTAATCCAAAAAGACCTATAAAGCTAGTATTAGCAACTGGAGAATAAAGAGACTTCATATTAGGACGACCGCGTACCAGGATGTCGGCATTCTTGCTCACACTCCGATTGGAGTGGGCTTTGACAATGCGCTTGACTGTTCCTCGTGGATATAGTTTCTGAACTGCTGCCATAATGGGTAGTTGAATAGAGGAGATGATGAAGTGAAGACGTGTGCAATGTTCAATGTTCAATGTTTACCCCCAAAAAGGATGTGGGGTCTACCGTAATGATCGTTACGTATGTAATTTGGTATTCGTATTTCCAGTTTATCCAAAGCACGTGATTGATGTATATCATACGATCGAATATTAGGTACCTAACTACTCAAGTAGTTATGTTGTATTAATAAATGCATCTTTATAAGTATATTGCTTAATGTACACTTCAACGCAGTCGTCGAAGAATTCGCCAGGCTGAAACACCAGCAATTGAACCAATGGCTACACGCCAGGCCAGGAAAACCCAGATTGCCATGCGCAAGCGGTCATAATAGCCACGGAGCATGATCCCCACAGCATAAGAAGTCCCATCTGTTGCTTGGTCTGTTGGACCATAATATCTTCCCACTCCGAGACCACCGATACCCACTTCATTGTGATCATGTTCGGTATTCGTCTCCCGTATGACTGGGAGTGCGGCCGTTTCGGTATCAGCCGCTGTATTACTAGGACGAGCACCCGATTTCACATTGAGTGCATTACGCTTCCGCAGATTATAAGTCAAAATGCTTATAATCAACCGCAGGTCAGGCACGGTAAATGTGGGATATTTCCACAACTTCACGGCTTGGTGGGGAGGGAGCATATCCAAGAAGTCGGCCAGGATGCCGAGAGTGAGACCCCAGAGGAGCAGCGGACGGGTAGTGTCACTCGAGTCCGCCTGGCCACTCAGACACCATCCCTTGAAGCGGTGGACCAGGGAAGGTTTGGGCGTATTCTCTTCGGGGACAAATCCTGGAGTTGTGGTGCATTGGTTGCTTTCCGACGGGAGGAGCCTCACGGCCGAGAACTGCATCCAGCCCATCAGAGACCGAACTGCAAGACGGGTCAGAAACCCGCCTTGTCGAGCGAAGCGCTGCGACATATCCACATATTCCACGGTCCGCAGCGATGGTGATAGGAGGGCGCGCAGGGGAATCCAATGTGTCGATGCTACTTCCGTGGGTTGCAATCGAAGGGTCGGGGAGTCGCTGCGAGTCGTGAGGAAAACGAAGGGACAAAGAACCATCAACCTGTCATTCAAGTCAGTAATCCAGTTTTCGACAGGGAAAGTGAATTGGGCATTCGTACGGTTCAGACCCCCAGCTGGTAGTGACTACCCGCTCAGGGAGATTGCCCACACTAATAGTATCCTCCGTTGTCAAATCTAACCCGATTTCCTCTGAAGCTTCCCTAATAGCTGCAGCTTTATCATCTGCATCTTCCGGGTCTCGCTTTCCGCCCGGTAGGGCAACATGACCAGTCCATCGGTCCCCCACGCGCGAAGCACGCTTGATAAACAAAACCTCCGGTTCACCATACTGGACCCATGGCTGCGAAAAGAACTCATCTAAACGTTGTTGAACTGGCTGAGAAGCATCTTTTGTGGGGGTTGAGCTGGGCCAATGGTCATATGTTGGTCGTACCCGAATAATCAAGGCAACCGAGGCGCGTTTCTTGCAGGTTGGGGGGTTTGGGACGTAGGGATAAGGTTGATTATGTAGCTCGGCTAATACGCCATGCAGATAATGGGACAGGCCCGGGGTTTGTGCAGACTTGGCCTCCATCAAGTTGTGTATACCTACCTGGGTAGGTATCGAATATTTCGATGTCAAAAGATCCCTGGATTGTGGAGAGGACATCGGTATCGGAGAGGCACATGTGCACATACCTTTTTCTGGTCCTGACTGGGGGCGATACCGGTCTAGCCCTTACTTCTTGTGCTTCTTGTACTTCTGTATTGTAAAATAACATACAATACCATCGGAAGATAGATTATCCGACTAGCTAATTCTAGCTAGTCATCCACTAATCCACTGCTGGACTCTGATTGGTTCCATCCAATGAGCACGTGCGTCTATCGCTGGCTATCGAACGCTTTCAGTCTCAAAGCTGCGACATGGTCTATCGCTTAGTTTGAAGCTAATAAGCTATTTTTTTTTTGGGCGTCTCTTATTTCTTTAATCTGCAGAATATCATCTCTTGTTTTGCTTTTTTCGATCCCGAAGATCAACTTGTCTTAATCCTCTCTCTCTCTCTCTTATCTCTTCCTCCCTTCCGAAACCCCCCCCCCTCCCCCTTCTCCTCCAATCAGAGGTGCACACCTACTCTGAGTAACAACTGCACAACACCAATTACAACCGGACTGGCTCAAAATGCGGTTTGGGAAAACCCTCCGTGCTGCGGTGTACCCTCCCTGGAAAGGGAAGTACATTGACTACACCAAGCTTAAGACCTTGCTGAGAGAGAATGATGTCACCCGGAACGGAGAAGACGCCAGTGATTCCGATGATGATCAATGGACTGAGCAAGATGAGGAAGCCTTCGTGCAGGAACTGCTCAATGTTGAACTGGATAAGGTAAATTCTTTTCAAGCAGAAACATCGCAGCAACTCCGAGAACGGACAACGGCATGTGAAGTTAAACTTCGACCATTGGCATCTACTCCGGAGCAAGAAACGCCTGTCCTCGATGAACAAAAGAAAAGGGCTATTGCCTCAGAAGTTCTACAAGAACTCGATAACATCACCAAGGAAGTTAGTGCCTTGGAAAAGTACAGCCGAATCAATTTCACTGGTTTCCTTAAGGCTGCAAAGAAGCATGATCGCAAACGAGGTGCTCGGTACCGGGTGAAGCCTTTGCTCCAAGTGCGACTGTCGCAACTGCCATTCAACTCGGAGGACTATTCGCCGTTGGTCCATCGGCTCTCGGTGATGTACTCCTTTGTTCGAGAGACCCTCAGCCATGACATTGTGCAACCAAGGGAGACAGAGCATGGATTTGGCCGTGAGACTTATTCATCTTACAAATTCTGGGTTCATTCAGACAACGTTTTGGAGGTCAAGACCCACATCCTTCGCCGATTGCCGGTTCTTATCTACAGGCCGGGAACTTCCAAGGACCTCGATACCATCACTGAAGACCCTACCATTACGTCCCTCTATTTCGATTCCCCTCAGTTTGATCTCTACAATCAAAAGGTCGCACGAGCACCCGAAGCCGGTTCTTTGCGACTGCGTTGGACGGGATCACTGAAAGACAAACCTACCATCTCATTGGAAAAGAAGATTGTCACCGACGACGACGAAAGCCGACAAGTCAAGGTACAGCTCAAAGACAAGCACATTAGGGAATTCTTGGACGGCGAATATCGCTTCGATAAAAAGCTCCATCGCATGGAGGATTCAAACAATGGCGAGTCGGCGGCCGCCGCCGAGGCCTTGAAAAAGGACGTGGATGAGCTGCAGTCATTCATCAAGGACAATGACCTGCAACCCATGCTCCGGGCCAACTACACGCGCACCGCCTTTCAAATTCCTGGCAATGATCGCATTCGTATTTCCCTCGATACCAACCTTGCGCTCATTCGGGAAGATTCCCTCGACGGCGAGCGTCCATGTCGCGACCCAGCTGAGTGGCACCGTACCGACTTGGACAATGCCGACATGACTTATCCCTTTAACGCTGTCAGGACTGGAGAGATCACTCGCTTCCCTCACGCTTTGCTCGAGATCCAGCTTCGAGGCAAGGCCCATAACACCGAGTGGGTCAAGGACCTGATGGTCTCCCACCTTGTCAAGGATGCTCCCCGCTTCTCCAAGTTCGTCCACGGCGTTGCCTCACTATTTGAAGACTATGTCAACAGCTTCCCCTTCTGGCTTGGTGAACTTGAAAGTGATATTCGCCGTGATCCGGAAACCGCATTCCACGAGGAGCAAGAGCGACTTGCTCGACGAGCGGAGGAGAACATAGCAGTGGGAAGTTTCATGGGAGACGCGCGCAGCCCAAGCGTTCGCCCACAAATCGGGTCACCTTACCACCCATACTCTAATACAGGCTCTCCCTCGGCCATACGGAGATCCTCGGCAGTCATCGAACCTGCTGCCCGGCCTTCGCGTCCATCCATCCCAGAGCCCCAGCGCCGTGATACCGAACCCGCTCCCGAACCAGAGGAAGAAGAACCCGAGCCGCCCACTCGCCTTGAGTCCATCTTTGAATTCTTTGGGCTATCTCCTCAGCGCTGGCTTGGGGAATCGGTCTCCCTACCGCCTGGCGTTCGACACCCCGGCGTCTGGATCAAAGATGCGGGACCCGTTCGGGTGGAAAGTAAGGTTTACCTTGCCAACCAGCGAACATTCATCAAATGGCTTCACATCAGTATCCTTCTGTCGAGTTTGTCCCTAGGCCTCTACAATGCTGCTGGCAAGCACAACCAGGTAGCCCAGGCACTGGCTATTGTCTACACCTTCTTCGCCATCTTCGCCGCAGTCTGGGGATGGTTCATATACGAGAAACGGGCCCGTCTCATCCGCCAGCGGAGTGGAAAGGACCTAGACAACATGCTCGGTCCTATCGTAGTCTGCATCGGTTTGGCAATTGCCTTGGTCCTGAACTTTGTCTTCAAGGTTAGCCTTCCCAGACATTTTCATTTCAACCCGGTCTTCTCCCGCTAACTCGTTAATAGTATTCCTCGGCACTCAGTCAAGGCCGCAACCACCCGCTTCCTAATGTGCCGGTTCACTCTAACTCATCGGCTGTTTTCGACAGTAGCTCGGGAGGTTCGTGGAGTAACTTGAACCAGGCCCAGCAGGTTTTGTGATAGTCTTTGGGGTTTTTTTTTCTTATTTGAACATGTGCCTTGTGGAGCGTTGGTGTAATTGTTGAATAGTAGCGTGTATGTTATGTTGTACCTCAAAATAACTTCCCTCGGGGACACTTGTGATTTGTATCAATTACCTCTCTTATGCAATTCCATATATTATTAAATCAGCACTCATTTAGAAGATGCGAGATCCCAAGATATAACACCTGAAATGAAAACCCACAACCTCGGGGAGTGCGGAATGTCAAATGAAACGCTTACAAATCGACTGTCATCCCCAACATCAAAAGCAATACAAAGCAAAGGATATACCAAGTTCAAGTTCAAACCCATTAACATCTCTCTCTGTCTCTCACACATTGGACACAATGACGAACTTCCAAATCCAGATCATTTCAGACACCGTCTGCCCAGTAAGTATTCCATATAAAACACAGATCTATACCCCAACCACATACTAACCATATATTTTCTTTTTAAAAAAAGTGGTGCTACGTCGGTTACCGCCGCCTCTCGCGAGCCATAACCACCCACCAAGCCACGTACCCAACAGACACATTTAGCCTGCACTGGAAAGCATTCTACCTCAACCCGGCATCAGCCGAGTACCCGGGCGTGAACAAAGCCGAGATGTACGCTCAGAAATTCGGGGCGGAGCGTTTTAAAGCGATATCCGAGCGCCTATGCGCTGTGGGCAAGAGCGAAGGCATCCAGTTTAGTTTCGGCGGGAATACTGGTCTCACGCGGGACTCGCATCGCTTGCTTTGGTTTGCTGGACAGCGGGAGGCTGAAGAGGTAGCTAAGAGAGAGGGTGCGGATGGGGTTGTTGGTGGGTTGCAGACGAGGGTTGCGGAGCAGTTGTTTCGGGCTTATTTCGAGGAGGAGAAGAACATTACCGATTTGAAGGTTCTGGTGGAGGCGGGTGTTGGGGCGGGATTGGATCGGGAAACTGTGAAGAAGCTGTTGGATGATGATGTTGGTGCTCAGGAAGTTGATCTGGAGGCCAAAACGGCGGCTAGGAGGTTGGTTTCTGGTGTGCCGTATATTTCGGTGCAAGGGAAATATCATGTTGAGGGGGCTGATGAGCCCGAGGTCTTTATTGATATCTTTGAGAAGGTGAAGGCCGAACAGAAGGACTAAATAACGTTAGAAGGGACTTCATATAGTTCTAGGGTAATCAGAATGCTCTATCCTATGGGTTATGTTGGATAATTTCAAATATTATTATGATCGTATTGTGCTATTGACATGCCGTGGCAAGTAAAGCTATTCAGACTAGCAAAAGCGTAGCTGATTCTATCTTGGTGCATGAGTGTGTCAAAAGGATATCTGCACGGAAATAGAATGTCGAGGTAGAGAATATCTTAGTGAGCTGTCACTTCCAGCCAATAAAGATAGCATCCCAGGTCATGAAAGTACACAGATTAACGCCTGTCATGCAACGAGTGTCTGGCTCATCTGTGGAGAGAAAAAAAGAAGCAAAGCAAAAGAAAAATAAGCTCCTCCCTACCCCCAAAAAAAGAAGGAAAGAGCATAAAATAATACACAACCAAGATGTAAAATAGGAAATGGGAAATAGGAAATAGGAAAAAAAAAAAAAAAAAAAACCAAGGATACGGCCCAGTAAAGAGCAAAAACAGCGAGGGAGAATGTAAAATGACCAGACCGGCAAAAGTCAAGTTATCCCGCAAAAGAAGTCATGATAGATCGTAGCAAGTCATGGAATGTTGAAAACTCCATGTTCAAATTCCGGGGGCATTCAGTGGGTCGTCTGTGCGTTGACCTGATGCAGTTCGTAATCAGGAAGGTAATCGAACCAGTCGGTCTCAGGGTTGTAGCGGTATGCCTTGAACTCGACTCCATATGGCTTGGGCTCAAGCATGTACAGAACGCCCATGGGGACATCAAGGTCAGCAACCTCATCACGCTTCAGACCACGGAAGTAGGCCAGGAGCACACGAGCAACGGATCTATGTCCGACCAGGAGCACATGGTCTGTAGTACGCTCGACCTCGACAATGACGGTGCGCGATCGATTGATGATGTCGAGGTAGCTTTCTCCGCCTGGTCCAGGGTATCGGTAGAAGAGTTTATCTCTCTTGCGGTGGGCGTACTCCTCGGGGTACTGCTCTTGGATTTCCTTGTATGTCATGCCTTCCATCTTTCCGGAATGGATTTCGTCCAACATCCTCATCTGCTTCACATCGTAATCATCTTCATTGAAGTATTCGGCAGTTTGAACGGAGCGTTGCATCATGGAGGACCAGACACAGAAGTTGCGTGGCCCTTCCTGAGGAATATAAGATGGGTTGGGAGGTGTGATGTCACCAGCTCGGGGCGGGAAGTGCTTGAGAAGGTCTTTCTGGCGCTGATATGCCTCCCACTGCTGCCGCTGGTGATCCACAAAACGAGCCAACGCTTTGGCGTACCTTTTCCCATTCTCGCTGAGATCAGAGTCACCACCGATGCGACCTGCGGCATCGTCCAAACTTTCACCGTGCCGTGTGATCCAAATTTGGCGTGGGGAGAGATTGAAATTGAGTAGGTAGTAGACAACTTGAGAAGCAAGGAAACCATGGGTCTGGTGAGCGACGACTTTACGACCAACATCGATCATCTGGATGAAAGCCATACGATGCTTCTCCTCGTATTCGCCGAGAGGCACGTACGACTTTTCGTAGAGAGCAACACGCTTCTTGAAATCCTCAAGTGCCTCGGCTGGGTCCTGGCCTTTGTAGTCAGGGCCAGAAAGTTTCAGGCGCATGTTAGCCTCAAGCAAATCCTGATCCACGCAGCTGCTTTCAAGGAACAGGATATTGAGCTCCGGACCAGCGCGATTGCGAATATGGTCAACAATTGCTTTGCGACGTTCCATGGTGCTGTTGGTCGCATCCAGGATACCAATGCTACCACCTTCCTCCAAAATGTAGTCAAGCAATTCATCAAGAGTATCCAGTGCGACCTGCTCTCTCATCTTGACAGCACGCTGATTCTGGGGGTCAAAGAAGTTGGCGGTCTGGTCAATTGGTTCAGGGGAAGCTTCATCGATAGCTTCTTCGTTGATAGCTTCTTCATTTTCACGAGATAGTGCAGGACCTGCGTCGATCGATGGCACAACAGTACTACCGTTTTGAGAACTCTGTGCGGGCTCTTCTCCGTTCACAAGAATCTTGGCTGGCACCACTGGAGGGGGAAGCGGTGCCTCGTTCTCCAGCGGGGAGGCGTCTGATGGGTTCAAAGTGGTGCCAACGCTGACACTCAATCGGCGCACCGAGTCAACGAGATCCTTGTGGAAAGCACTTGGTTTCCGATCCTGACCACGACCAAGCGGGGCGGGTGAGGGGGACTTTCCGGCGGCCACACGGCGACGCTGTCCAACATTGAAGATTTCAGTGTCATGCTGGAGCCAGTTTAAGTAGCGGGCCAGCTTCTTCGTAATGTAACTTTTGCCTCGGGCTGGGAGGCCGACCATGACAATGACAAGCTTTGCACCAACATCCCGCTGGGCAATGCGGCCATCTGGAGACACCTTGGACTTGGTCAATCCGGGGATATCGAGGGTAGTTGCACGCACTCGACCGGGGGTCCCAGGAGGGTGATAAAGGCCCGATCTGCAAGGATCCTATTAGTCACAGTTCGCCAAGCATATCTATGCAAGTCCCAAGACAGTAAACGTAAAACAACGGGTTGGAGTCCGGGGTAATGTAGAATAGCTCAGAATAAGGCTGCAAAGAACCCCAGAACTGGACTGATCCCGAGATGAGCCGATCAAATCTCGTTCTGATAGGTTCAAACATAGTAAAGTCCAAAGGATCTAGACCAAAAAAAAAAGGAGAAACAGAGAAATAATACTCACATCTGTGGAGACGGAGGTGCGGTAGAAACCGGAGTGTCTGTCAAAGCGGCTCCGACTCCGCCCTTGGACAGCAGTGACGATTTGTGGGAATCGGAATGCAGGTCATTACCTAGCGCTCGGTTGACGACAGTTTTCGGGGGCATAAGAGGTCCTTCTTTCCCCGATCCCGAGCCATTCGATATACCGTTGGGTTTAATATTATTCCTCTGATCTCCCATCTCAGGCGAAATGGCCGACGTCATGGCCGATCGGGCGATGCTAGAATGTTGCGCCATCCCCTAGGGGGATGTTCTGTGTGTATGTTTTATTAAGAAGGGTGTTGTTGCTCTCAGAGCTTTTCTCACAGGGTCTTTGAGTTGATAAGGACTTGTGTCACACCTGGGGCAAGATAAAAAAAAAAAAGTTGGTGAGAGAGGGGAGAGAAAGGAAAGTGTGTCCACGGAGGTTTGGATGAGTCAACCAACGGGAACACCGGGTTTGATGTTGACCACTTGGGATATTCAAGGAGCTTGGAGATATTCAAGGGATAAAAAGAATCAAAGTGGTTGGGGGATTCTTTTTCTTCTGATGAGGTTCTTTTTTTTTTCCCAAAAATATTTTGTGTGTCTTTTTTTTTTTTTTTGGAGTGTATGTGGGGGTACAATATCAGTCAAGGATAAGGTAGTGCCAAGTACGTCAAAAAGGAGAAGATCTTAACTTGGAGATATCTTTGTCTTTTGAAATGATGAAATCACACAGTAGGTTAGACTTAGTACATAGGGTGGATCGATGGCTTAAAGATCATCCATAGATATCCATATATGATGTCAAAGGAAGTATACCAAGTATACCAAGTATACAGAGAGGAAATAGAAATGGTATTGATGCAAGATATTCAGGTCTAATCCAGGATTAAACAACTCTTATAGACATCATATCAAATGAGTTTCACAAAACCATGCAAGATGTATCAGTCCTATCTCAAATAGAGAATGCTTGGCTAAAAGCATACAGGAGTACAGGTTCGAGAAAACACAGTGGAACATCGAACCATACTCAATCTCACCCCTGTACAATGCCCTGTGATATCCTCATAATCCACCGAAATGCTCAGAGTCGTTGGGTTTCCCGTCTTGGTAGGGGGTTGGCAGTGCACCCCTAGTTGATTCCAGATATGGCCGACTCAACAAAAAGTACAAACGCACTCATACTAATACTCTGTACTCCGTATTTGGAATCGAACTCAGCAATGAATCAAACATAACTATTGGGAACACCTTGTGTGACCTGAGTCTCACCGCTCGGGCTGATCCATACTCGACTTTCTTGGCGACTCTCTCGGTCGACACAACAGATCTCCGGCCAACTGTAGGCGTCCGTTGCTGCACGCTGATCTCCGCTGCCGTAAGCCTCGGAAATGGTCACCCATATCCCGTGGTCAGGTGCGGAATCCTTGGCACTTGGCGGTAACGCAGGGGGGGGATCGGGGTATCACAGATGGCATGCCTAGAAGATAGCCTCCAGGGATATTGGATATACGGTGTGTGGATGGATCGGTGGGTAACCATCCACGCACAGAATGTTCCTTATCAGTTGCTCAGGTTCAAGGTCAAGCCAATCAAGCATGCGTACGCCGCAATACTCAATGCTGTCAAGACCAAGACCGCATTTCCACTGGTACGGAATTTGTGTCGATGTATCCCATCCTCCCCTACTTCCGAGAAGAACTGTCTGTTTCCCTGCGAGCGGCGGAAAAGTCCGATAATGAGAACACCGGTACCGTATATCGCAAACAGAGCCCCAATACTGTAGAACTCGGCGGTGAAAATCTTGAGTACGACAAGAGCGAAGGAGAACTGAGAAAGAGCGGTTCGGACATATGCCCCCTCAAAGGTGCGTTGGGCCGCGCGCACCTCGACCATTTCATCTGAGGTCAGCACTGCCGAGCGGGCTCGGTGCATTCGAAGGCGATAACGATCCCCTGCGCGACGCTGAGACAGTCAGACTACATAGTGAGGTAGAACAGGAGAGATGAAGAATATGGGGGAAGGGGTAGCCCAGGTAGATGGGAAATCCTAAGTAAACACACCTCAAACATGGTGAAGGCTCCAAATCAAATAAAAGAGAACCAGGATTGAAGGTATTGGAAGTGGACTGATATACTGATAATCCAGGACTTGTTTCGCAATTTCATGGAAGTTGGGTTCCGCACAGGTGAGAGCGGGTGACACCTTTGGCCCCTCACGTGGACTACATAACATAGTACCTATACTACTACTACTACTACTACTACTACTACTACTACTACTACTACTACTAGTTACTACTAGTTATAGTTAGTTACAATTTTATATATAATTCCCTTTCTGATTTACATATACACCCAATATTTTCCACCAATAACATCAAGTCAATTCCAATTCCTACTCGGTCGGCAATCGAAAAAGGCCCCCAAAAAGGGAAAAAGCGGCTACCGACGTTCCCCACACTCTCCCTCTCCGACATGCCCATGGCTTCTCCAATTTACTTCTCGTGTCATTCCTTCTTTTCTCTCTCTTCCTCTCGAATATACTCACCCCCGGTCTCTATAGCCAACTACGACTCAACTCATTCCTGTGTTGTGATTGAGAATGGCCAAGGTATTCAATGCGACAGAAGGTATTGGTTCTCCGCATTCGTGTGACCCCCACGCGGGATATTTCGACTAATTGAAGAAACAGTCGCAAAGCACAACACTCCTGAGAGTTGTTGGGTGGTTCTATACGGCAAGGTCTACGATGTACGGGTTCATCCTATAAAAATCCTCATTGTGTATTGCACATTCCCCGGGCACGTCTGACTCTTATCTACTAGGTCACCGATTTCCTGAGCAGTCACCCCGGCGGTGCAAAGATCATTTTGAAACTTGCAGGCCAGGATGCCACTGAGGAATATGATCCCATTCACCCACCAGGTATATTAGAGGAGGAGCTTAAGCCCGAGGCATGCTTGGGAACAATCGATGCCAGCACATTACCACAGGAGCAGGCATCCTCTGAACCTCAAGAGGAGATGGAGGGTCCACCGCCTATGGAGAATCTTCTCAACTTGGACGAGATTGAGGAGGTGGCTACTAAGCAAGTGAGCAAGAAGGCTTGGGCGTACTATTACTCTGCATCCGACGACCAAGTCAGCAAAAAGTTCAATAATGAGGTTTACCGGTCCATCCTCTTGCGTCCTAGAGTTTTTGTGGATTGCACAAAGTGTGAGCTGGACACAACGGTCCTCGACCATAAACTAAAAACGCCTATTTATGTGTCTCCCGCGGCCATGGCCCGTCTAGGTCACCCATCCGGCGAGGCCGGCATCGCAGAAGCGTGTCGTAGCTTTGGGGCCATGCAAATCATCTCTAATAACGCTTCCATGACACCAGAGCAGATCGTCAAAGACGCTGCTCCGGATCAAATCTTTGGCTGGCAGCTTTATGTTCAGATTGACCGCAAAAAGAGTGAGACAATGCTTGCACGCATCCAGAAGCTCAAGGCAATCAAGTTCATTGTTCTTACCCTCGACGCCCCGGTTCCAGGAAAACGCGAGGACGATGAGCGAACCGGCATGACCGGACGGACCGCTGCCGTACCCAGCGGCGTGAAAGCTGCCGAGCGCTCGTCGGATGATACCCCCAATCCCACCCAAGGATCTGGAGGTGTTGGCCAGCAATTGTTCGCAGGCACCGATCCTTCCTTGACATGGACGGATACTTTGGCTTGGCTTGCCACTCAGACAGATCTGCCTATCGTTTTGAAGGGTCTGCAGACTCACGAAGATGCATACCTTGCCTCACTCCACGCACCTCAAGTTAAAGGTATCATTCTCTCCAATCACGGAGGGCGCGCCGTGGACACTGCCCCTCCGGCAGTTCATACTCTGTTGGAGATTCGGAAATACTGCCCCGAGGTCTTCGACAAGATCGAGGTGTATGTGGATGGCGGTATTCGTCGCGGCACAGATGCCGTCAAGGCTCTCTGCCTAGGCGCGAAGGCAGTTGGCCTTGGACGCCCGGCTCTGTGGGGTTTAGCGGCGGGTGGAGTCGATGGTGTTCGCCGAACATTGCAAAGTAAGTTGACTAGGTATTTGTTCTGTTTTCATTTCTAACTCTGTGGTAGTTCTGAACGATGAAATCAAGACATGTATGCGACTGCTTGGAGTGGAGCGGATTGATCAATTAGGGCTCCAACATGTAAGTGTCCTCTCATCACTTCGTCTTTTTATCTACTAACTCTGCTATTAGATCAACACTCGCGCTACTGAGCAGCAGATCTACGATGGTCCCAGTTCTCTTGAACCCTTACGGCGCGCATTCCGTGCGAGACTGTAGGGGTCACCGAAGTTATATACTCCAAATGTAAATGTGTCAATCTCGAATATAATTTGATTACCTGGAGTCTTATTCTTTACATCCCCATTCAACATTTGCAATATCCAGCAAAGTTCTCCTCTTTTCTCCAAAACAAAAATACCCTCGTTGGCTGTTGGCCCACTATATCAGCGCCACCCTAACCCATCTCCACTCCCAATCCACACAACCAAAAAAAAAAAAAAAAAAAAAAAAAAGAAATCTTCTTCAGTAGAAGAGAAGAAGAAGACCAAAAAAATAGTTTCCCTGGGAATCGAACCCAGAACCTTTCCGGAACACTTGCTTGAAGCAATTGTTAACGGAAAATCATAACCGCTAGACCAGGAAACTGGTTGATGTGAGATGAGGCCATCATAAGCCACTATGAGATCGATCTGGTTAAATCATTTATTATTTCGATATATTGTTTTGGATCAAGGTGTTTAATCAAACTACCTTACTATATACCAATTATCTTCTATAATAAATGATTTAACCAGATTTAACATCAGTAAATGTACGATTAACAATATTACCTACATTAACTACCTAGGTATGTACATAAGGTACCTAACCCTCCAGGGCTGTACATCCATATGTTCCCCGCATCTTACATTTCCCATCATACCTCCTCGATCTTACAATGGCAAACATCCTACAATGGTTTCCCCGTACAACTGCTCCATTCATTGCTAATGCACCAATGTTTGGATTTGCCGACGCCGGTCTAGCAACTGCCGTCACAAAGGCCGGGGGATTCGGTATAACAAACCGGTCTGGTTGCAGATAATCGACTGACCATCTACAGGGTTTATTGGCGGAGGCTTTGATTTCCGATCTGAATCAACCCAGCTCCTAGGCCTGGATACTCAGTTGGTGGATGCCCGCTCTATCCTTGGTTTGACCGATAGTTCGCCATTACCGCTTGGTGTCGGTTTCATTACTTTCCAGCCAGATGGGATCATTGACAATGCCATTCCCATTCTCCAGAAGCATCGAGTAGGGGCAGTCTGGCTATCCTTCCCTCGGGCTGACACCGATCATCTTCCGATCATAAAAGCCATTCAGAAGGCCCAGGGGAGTTCTGACTGGGATACCAAGATATTTGTCCAGGTGGGAACTATCAAAGCTGCAGAAGAAGCACTTAAGCAGGGAGTGGATGTTCTGGTGGTTCAAGGAGCCGATGCAGGAGGACATCAATGGGCCCAGTGTGCCAGTTTAATATCCCTGTTGCCTGAGATACGAGATCTTCTGTCAAAGGCCCAAGATACAACCACTGCTATCCTGGCAGCTGGCGGCATTGTGGATGAGAGGGGGCTGTGTTGCTGCTCTCGGCTTAGGTGGGTTGTTCCACACCTCATTGTTGCAGCTGATTGACATAGGCAGGTGCCGATGGGATTGTTATGGGCACACGGGTTTGTCTTGCTTCCTCTCGTCGACATGGATCCTTGCTAATCAGGTGCCAGTTCGTTGCAACCTCGGAGTGCCCTGCGCCGTCTGCGATTAAACAGACCATTGTATCGGGGAGGGATGGTGGAGCCTCGACTGTCAAGTCCATCCGACATGACGTGTTCCAATCCACTGATCTCTTCCCCAGGCAGTATGATGGCAGAGCTATCATCGGTGTTAACTATGAGGATTCTCGGGATGGGGTCAGTGACGAGGAAATCATCCGTCGATACAATGCGGCTAAGGAGGCTGGCGAACATCAACGGAGGACAGTGTGGGCGTGAGTATTCCTACTCTTCTATACTGTGTGTATCTCTTAGGCTTTCTCATGTTAATGACTTTGATAGTGGTGCGAGTATTGGAAGTATCAATGCTGTGGTCTCTGTTGAGCATGTCGTGCAGTCTACCCAGCAAGGGGTGAAAGTGATATTGGGGCGATTGAATACAGGATTTTAGCTCTATGTATCTGGTATCTGGTATTTTGCCTCTCTTGTTTCTTGTTTTTTTGGTATAAAATCGAGATGTTAGCTCTATACCAGCAATATATACTGATCCGAAATATGTATATATGATGAATACGACGTGGAAACCAAGCCATTCCAATACAACCAACTAGCAAATTAAACACAAGCAAGAATATATTTTCTGTCAAAATTAGAAATTGGTGTCAGATCAAGATCGACAAGCGTTGGCAACAGGCCGAATTGAGTCTCTCTCCCACTCCCCCCCTTCCCCCTCTTTATTCTCAATTCCTCAATTCCTCGACCTTCAAAGTGACCGTCTCTACCCCTCAGTTCTCCCACAATTACACATCTTTTAGGAAAATCAAGATTCACGGCCGTGTTTGGTCAGCCTTGAGGTTGGGACCTTGGTGTTCCCTTCAAAGCTGCCCGCGATTTATTCCTCAATTTAATCCCATCCGTCCAACCACAAGCACTACGTCGAGTCGTGAATTTTTAACAACTGGGACATACAAGAACCCATTCCCTACTCTCACCACCCTCGAAATCTTCGACTCGACCCCCAGCGACGATCAATCCGCCGCGATGAATAAGACTACACCCTCACCAAGTCCCGTCCCCAAAGCTTCGCCAAGCTCAAATCCCCCTCCCTCGCCGACCGCAGGCACAAAGCGCAAGAGAAATACCCCGGCCAAATATTATGCTGTCAAGGCGGGTCACAAACCAGGTATCTACTATGGGTGGAATGACTGTCTGGCCCAAGTAACGGGATTCAAGGGAGCAATTTGTGAGTGCACTCGTCGCAGTGGTTCTTCCAATAGGTGTGCCAACTTGACCAGGCATTAACACATAAGCTCTTTAGTCCAATCATTTCCCTCGCAAGAAGCAGCCAACGCGTTTCTGAACGGTACCAAGCCCCCCAGCCGAATCGCAGAGCTCGGAGAACACACGATTCTATGGAATCCAAAGGGGCCGGGTTACCGGAGTATACACAAATTGGACAACGGCACAGGAGCAGATCCGTGGGTTTCCGCGACCTCGATATCGCAAGTTCTCCACTCGCGAAGAGGCAGAGGACTTTGTACGGGAAGGACAGGCCCAGCCTCCAGCCGGGTTCGGCGTGGCATCTGGGCCTCATGGGATAACGACTGAAAAACCAAAAGATGCAGAAGGAATCGAGTTTGCGCCAGGCGACGGCCCGTTGCCAGCAGGAGCTGAAGATGGGTTTGACCCCAACGTCCTTTTGGACCCAGCCACTGGCAAGGTGGTGTACAAAACGGCCCCCCAGACGACAGCAACAAAAACACAATCAACAGGTATCCCAGGGATGCTCCGGATATACACCGATGGGAGTTCATTAAGGAATGGCACCCCATTGGCATCGGCCGGGGTAGGGGTATACTTTGGCCCTGGTGATTCAAGGTTCGTACATTCACCCATTGGGGAATATATATATATATATATATATATTTACCACGTCTTCTAACTTCCTTCACTTATCCCAGCAGAAACGTTTCGGAGTCACTAAAAGGCAGTCGTCAAACGAACCAGCGCGCTGAATTGACTGCAATCCTTCGGGCGATTGATATTGCCCCTCGACACCGAGATGTAACCATAGTCACCGACAGCCGATATTCGATTGACTGTGTTACGGTATGGTTTGTCAACTGGCGTCGCAACAACTGGATGACCCGGGACAAGAAGCCAGTTGAGAACAAAGATCTGGTTGAATCGATTTTGATCAAAATTGAGGAACGAAATGATCTCAAGGTGAAGACCTTGTTTGAATGGGTTAAAGGTCACAATAAAGACCCGGGCAATGAAGAGGCCGATAAATTGGCTGTTAATGGAGCTCATAGGGGGTATCTGCTAAGGCAGAGGCCCTGCATGTGGCCCAAGAGGTGCCTGATGAATTGTTTGATGAAGATTTTTAGGCATTTGATTGCAAAATAAAGAAGCATCTTGCATGTAATATGATAATATACCTAATTTATATAGTTAATAAGTAGTTAATAAGTAGTTTGTATGTAGTTTGTATGTAGTTAGTATGTAGATGCAGATGCCAAGACTTTGGATGTTTCCCACAGACTTCTTCTCTTCTTCTCTTCTCCTCTCTTCTCCTCTTTTCTTCTCTCATCTTCTCAATCTTTGCATATTCACCTCCATAGCCCCGTTGTTTGCTTTCAAGCCATTTCAATATATCCAGATGATATTGCCAACAATTGCACAGGAAATTCATACTATGATTCAATAACACTTGCTTGTACTCGCATACAGACATTTATCTAAGACTCTAGATCTCACTGATCTGACTCCTTTGAATTCCAACTATTTATTTTACTTGACACATTTGGGCCTTCATTGTCCTCAAATACAACTCAGAACATTTTCACAAAGCGGGTTATAGTGCAGAGCAAAATGCCGACACTCGCCTTGATCAACTTCAACATCGTCTGCGCGACGCTCGGAGGGTTTATTTCCCTTTTCGGACTAGTATCCTACCTTTGCAAGGAGAAGTTCTACCTATCCGAAGCATGTAAGTGTTAAGCCATCCGGGTGGTATTACCACCTTTTACTAACAGGAAATAGTAATCTCCCTGCTAGCAGGAGTATTATTCTCTCCCCATGCGGCTAATTTCATCAGACCGGAAGATTATGCACTCCACTCAGGGGAGAACCTCGAACAAATCACTTTGCATTTTACCCGCCTAGTGCTAGGCGTGCAGCTAGTCCTAGCTGGAGTCCAACTCCCAAAGCGGTATCTGCAGATCGAATGGCGGAGCCTAGGGCTTCTCCTTGGACCAGGCATGGCTGCTATGTGGATGTGCAGTAGCTTAGTGATCTGGGCCATGGTTCCAAACTTCAAGTTCCTCCATGCCCTGATCATCGGCGCGTGTGTGACCCCAACCGACCCCGTTCTGTCCAACTCCATTGTTAAGGGCAAGTTTGCCGATAAACATGTTCCCCGTGAGCTGCAGAGGATCATTATTGCTGAATCTGGCGCCAATGATGGCCTTGGCTACCCGTTCCTTTTCTTTGCAGTTTATCTCCTCCAGTATACTGGGATGGGAAGCGAGAGCTATAGCGGTGGTGCAGGGAAGGCGATGGCGTTGTGGTTCTATGAGACCTGGGCATATACCATTCTGTTGAGTGTGGTCTATGGAACTCTGGTTGGCTGGATTGCGAGGAAGTTGCTACACTGGGCAGAGGAGAAGCGCTATGTTGACCGGGAGAGCTTCTTGGTGTTTGCCATTGCTCTTGCAGTAGGTTTACCTCCAAACCAAAAAAAAAAAAAAAGAGACAAAGTTCTTTGCTGATCTCTTAAATAGCTGTTCATTGTGGGAACTTGTGGTTTGATTGGGACGGATGATCTTCTTGCCTGTTTCATTGCTGGAAACGTATTCACACAAGAGTAGGTCACCATGATGCGGGATATGATATCATGAATGCTAACAGAGACAAGTGACTGGTTCCGCCTTGAGACCATGGATGATTCCCTCCAACCGACAATCGATATGCTTCTCAACCTGTCTGTCTTCATGTGGTTTGGAGCGGTCTGCCCATGGTCATCCTTCCTAGACAACAGCGTGATTCCAATCCATCGGCTCATCTTCCTGGGAATATTGGTCCTCATACTTCGCCGCCTCCCGATCGTCTTTGCCATGCATAAATGGATCCCGCAGATAGAGCTCGTCTCCCAGGCTGCTTTCGTCGGCTTCTTCGGTCCTATCGGAGTCGGCGCCATCTTCTACCTATCAGTCAGCCTTGAATTCCTGCGCAAGATCCAAGTTAACGGCGAAGTCCCAGAGGACGTAAAGCAAGTCATGGAGACCATCCGGGTCGTGGTCTGGTTCCTAGTAATCTGCAGTATTGTAAGTCTTCTCCTCAAACAACCAAATCCCCGCGCTTTCATATCTTATTCACCTTCTGACCAAACCTAGGTCGTGCATGGCCTCTCAGTCCCCCTTGGAAAAGCCGGCTATCACCTCCCAGCAACCATCTCCAGTGTCATCAGCACCGGCACATACGAGGAGCGCGAGCCGGTTCCCATCTCAAACGTCAACCACACGCACAGCACGGCCACACCTCTCACAACGGGAGAGGATGGGAGTTACCGCAGCCGCAAGCGTGGTTTACGGGGTATTGCCATAGGTCGTTCGGTGATCCGTCCTCGTTCGCCGTCTCACCAACCTGGCGTGGGTCAGGCCGATGAGCCGGAGAGACCCGTTCACCTGGTTATTAATCAGACTAAAAGCGGGGATAACAAGCTCCAGACCTAGTTGCGTTTGGGGATGTGATCGATCCAGGCGGCTGTGCTTTGCTTTGATTGGGTTCATCTAATCGTTTGATTAGCAGAGCGAAGTGTTGCCTGGGCCATTATATCCTCCTGCTTTGATTGCCCCAGCATATTTAACAGCAACCTTTTCTACTCTTTTGTCTTCTATAGACACACTTGAGGTTATCCACTGAAAGAGACCAATGCTGATATTGGGGGGGATCAAAGTGGTGGTCTAGGCGCCAGTTTAACATGTAGATAGTTGGAGGGGTAGATAGATAGAGATATGGGGATGCTAGATGTTAGTTGAATATTATTATATATCTTTATCGTGAGCTGAAATTAAAAGAGCCTCTTACCATCCTACCGAGAGTGCTGTATGTACCTAGTTACTACTGGTAAATTAACAATTCTGTTCAATTTGTTTCATACTTCCATAGTATCAAGAATTCATGAAGGGACATGTGAAGCATGAGATGTTACCTTATACTGTATACTGTTGCCGATGTTAATTTACTGGTGTATTATAGAGTCTGGAAATAACGCCTTGCCATAAATATGGAAAGCCCGAGAGTGCAAGAACTAGATAGATACAAGCAAGAGGAGACGCAGCTTTACAAGCCCTTGGTAGGCCACAGCGCCACACCTAGACCATCATAGAAGATGCCCTCAGAAGAATAGCAAATACAAAGGGAAGTGGATTGGTATCAAATGTGCCTCGGACATCCGTTTTCCATGCCCTAACTAAAGGAAACTTCATAACCTCGTCAAGGTGTTGTTGACCTGATAACCAAGATAACCAAGACAACCATTCCACTCATCCCGAAGGGTACCAGAGAGATCATATTCTCTGATCGAATTCATGTGTTTTTTTTTTGGAGGGGATTTCTTCTTTTATCATTCCTTCGATATCGTTACACGTCGTACTGAAAAGCAAAATATAACGCCGTTGATGGGTCCGTGTCGAGATCGTGAACTCATCGTGATTCCGAATTCATGAACTTGCAAAAGCGCGAAAACAGGCGAGAAATAAAACGCAATTTAAGATAGGCTGGCGTGCAGTTCGCGGGCACGGCGAGCGAGGGGTGAAATATGTCGCAGGATTGGGTCGTGCGGGTTGCGGTCAACGACTGACATGTACAGGGTATTGAGGCGCTGGCTCATGATATCCAGAATGCGAGGTGCGACTTCACGGAGATCGGTGTCCTAAACAGCCAGAGTTAGTGAGCATGTTACAAAGATTTGAGAGAGGATAATGACATACCCTAGGGTTCACGTTTTGGAGAACCACCTCAAGCCAGTGGAGGCGCTGGCCAATGTTGGTCTGCATGGTAGTGGTGACAGCAACGGCCACGGAGAGCATGACGATCGCAGAGAGTCGCGACAAGTAGGTGGGAGATATGTGGACAAAGAAGTTGTCAAACAGATCAGCTTGCTGGTTCGATTGGAGCCACTAGGGAATTTAACGTTAGTAGGAATATCGAATAGATGGAAGTGTTTTGAACCAACCTTGATAGTGCCTTGCTCGAAGTGACCGGTATTGATAAGCTGCACAACATCTCCCATTTCGACTTCCTCGGGGGATCGCGCGGCAGGGGAAGCGACAGGAACCGGGGCTGGCGCCGGGGGGTGGATAGCCTGAGGCTGAAGTACAGGCCGAGACAACGGCTGCGGCATGCGCACATTCTCACTTGGTGGTCTAGCTGAGGAGCGCTTGTTGACATTCAAGACCTCACGGTGGGGGGCCTCGTGCTGCGGGCTTTGGCTTTGCTGAATTTGGTGGCTCTGGTTCGCGGCCAGCAAAGAAACGGTGTTGGACAGGCCACGCAGGACGGCCGACATCTCCTCGATCTTTGCGGTATCACTCTGGCGCTGGGTCTCGTAGTGGATGATCTGTGCTTGGAAGTGGCGTTCCATATCCGACTCCACCTTCTTCGTGGTACGTGCCAAGCTCTCAATCATGGGGGCAATTGAAGATTGCATGACCCGGGTAACTTCCGCCTCAATGCGAGGTGCAAGCTTATGCGCAACCGAATCGGAGACAGCCTTCACCACAGGTGCCTGCTGCATAGCATTGATGACAGCCTTGGGAAGAATCTGTCGCAACTCGTCATTCAACGCACCTCCAAGCTGTTGGGAGATAGCGCCATTCAATTGTTTGTTGACTGCTGCGGAGGTGGCATCGGCAATGACAGGAATAACATCGGTCTGGATACTGGCTGAAACAATACGCGTCAAGTTCTTCTCGACGTTGTCGGAGAGCGTGCTAGAGACCAGGCGCAACACTTGGTCTTGCTTGGCTGACGAGGCAGCCTCCCAGCTACGACGTTCATCGTCGAAGCGGCGATGGAGGTTCTCAAACTCATGGCCAAGACTCTTGTTGAACTCGCTTGAAACACTGCCCTGCAGGTTCTGGATGTGCTTGTTGAAAATTTCACTTGAGAAACCGGGACTAGGCACTGCGTGCTCGGCAGCCTGAGTCGCACCCATCGCCGCAGTAGAAGAGGCAAGAGTCTCGAATTCCTTGGCAGCGCCGGAGGGGACTTGAAGAGGTTCGACACCGGCAGTGACGGATGGCTCCTTTGCCTTGGCAGCTTCGGCGGCTGCAGCCTTCTTCTTCTTTTTCTTTTCAGACTTCTCAACCACAACAGGTGCTGGCTCACTGGGCTCCTCCTTCTTCTTGGCCAACTTGGTAGGCGAAGCGTTACGCGAAGGAGCAACGCCAGAAGCCAATTCTCCAATCTCTGGCTTTTTCGCCGATTCCTTGGGACCAACGCGAGACTGGATAGAGGCTGTGTCACCGTTGATAGATGGCTCATCGGTGGCGTATGTGGGGAAAGTTTGGAGGTCGCTGATTTCAATCAAGCCGTGCTCCATTGCATCGATAGGGCGAATAACCTTGTTATCTGCAGTCCAACCCAAATCCTCCTTCTTGATGTTCAAGCAGGTAACACCGCGCGAGTGCATAACGTAGAGCTCGAACAGGGGATTTTCCTCAGTGCCGCGTTTGTCAGTAGCGGACTTGGTGATAGGGAGAAGCTCCAAGCTTCTCAGCTGACCTTTGGAACCGAGAGAGATCTCCCGGATTCCACTCAAGCAAGCAGTCGACTCGGGCTTGGGTAGGGTGTTGTCCTTATCGTTGAGGTCTCGGATGTAGGCTGCCTGTGACATCTGAGGCAAATTGTACCGAGGAGCCGAAAGATGAGCAAAGTAGATCGAGTTACGTGTCGGATGTCCAACGACAATGACCCCCGATGCTGGGTGATAAGCCACGCTGCAGATGGCATCGGACTCGTTCTCGTGGGGGAACTTCAACTCCTGTACGGCCTTGCCCAGCCCAATATCCCAGAGCTGCAAGGTGTGGTTTTGCTTGAGTCCAACCAAAACATAACGAAGTGCCATAGATCGCGAATAAGCGCGAAGCTTATCGAGGAAGAGGACCGAAGTAGGCCAAGACTTTTCGGTTGGGGAGCCGGTGACAAAGGTAGTCAAGGGCACCCGGATCTCAACAGGAGCAGGGCCTTCCACAAAGCTCGCGTCGTTAAGCATATCATTTATATCCCAGAAGCGCAGTCGGCCAGTCTTGTCCAAAGAAGCGATGACGGAATCATCGTCACTGAAAGCGAAGTCTTTGCCGGCTTTACCAGTAGAGATCTTCAACGCGCGCTCCTTGAAGAATTTCTCGGTGTTGACTGTACGCTGAGTACCAGAAACACCGTACGTAGGGTTCATTGCTGCCTTCGGCGAAACAACGTAGATGTTCTTGCCCCGGCCAATAGCAAACAAGTTGGGGTGACGAGTACTCCGCTTGGCCCGCGTTTTCAGCTGACCACCAGAGGTGTTCTCGTCTGAGGCCGGGAAAGGTGGGAAGATCAAGCTTTCGCTTTCCAATGCATCCATATCAAAGAAATCCTTTCCAGCACGCGAGATCAAAGCCCAGTATACAGAGCCGCTGACTCCAATACCGAGGATAGCCTGGACTTCGGAGTCACCAGCCGCAGAAGGAGCTGTGCACAACGCAACGTTGAACACTCGATCGCGGGTGGAACGGAAAACCTGTCGGTCACTACCGTCATCCTGTCGAATAATTCTGATTCCACCGGTTTTGGCGAGCGCATACACGATGTATTCAGATGTAGCCGCAGTCAATGAGCGGTCAAGCTGATCGAACTCCTTCTTCAAACGAGCAATATCCATAACATCGTCATCACGGAAGGTCGTAAGTTTTCCAGACGTAGCTTTCACGGCAATGGAGATGAAGGGCCTCATTGGGAAGTTGTGAACAGAGACAACTCGTTCTTCTTCCTTTTCAGCGCTGTCTTCCGCACTCTCCCAGCTGTCAGCTAGGGCCTCTGTTTTCTCAGTCGCCTTAGGGGCAGCTGGAACCGCGGAAGGTTCTGTCTCCTTCACGAGCTCGTCGACCTGAGTCAAGCTTGCTGTTTCTTTAGCTTCAGCAGCAGTCTCGCGCAAATGACCAGCGATCGACGAAAGAACTGCTTCAGAGGATTCCTCCTGGGCAGTAGAAACAGCAGCCTTGGCTTCCGCTGCAATCTGAGGCTCATCGCCGCTGAGAGAGCGGCCAATCTCATCTACGAGACGACCGACTACCTCATGCACGGCCTCCCTCTGACCTTCAGTCAAGATTGGCGACTGGGTTTTATCCCTGGGGGCGCAAGCTCTGGTGTCTGCGAAGGCTCCAGCTTAGCAGAAACATTGATCTTTTGCTTCTGCGTGGCTTCAACAGCCGGGCTCTGGATGCCAGACTGGGGAGACTTGTTCACGGGTGAGATAGCGGCCAATTGGTCAAACGGATTGACATAAGTGAACATTGAGTCCTTCGAGTTGGGCGACACGACCGTTTCCGGGTTCGCAGGCGCCTTGGGACTTTCATCCACAACTTCCATAAAGATATTCTTGGCTGGCTGGTTCTGACGTTCATCGACGGCAGCCTGAATATAAGGTGCCTGCTGAGTTGAACCCAGTGCCGGTGATTCGGCGACAGGAGGACCTGTCTGCGAACGATTGAGCAGGCGAAGCAACATATCCTGGGTATTCTCATTGGGACCCTCAGGCTGACCGGATTGGAATGCCGGGGCAGGGCCAGCGGGAGCAGTCACAGGAGCGGCAGGGGCCTGTTGACCGAACAGAGTAGCAACTAAGTCAGAGGCGGAAATATTGCGTCCGTGCGACCCAGGAGCTCCCTGGACCGGCGGAGTCTGCAAGTGCTCGGGAGCTGCAGCTGGGGCCTGCGGCTGAGGGGAAGCACCGGGACGTTGGCTGAATCTGAGAAGATTCAAAAGGTCCACAGATCCTGGGTTGGTGTGCTGCGGTTGCGGCTGCTGAGGCCATTCGCCTCGAGGAGAAGACACATTAGGGCTCAATATATCAGAGCCCTGATGAGGGGGAGCATTCATTGGGGCAGGACTTTGGACAGTCGAGGATACCGAAGGATGTTGGTAGCCATGCGACTGGGGATGAGGGTAGCTCTGGCCATCGTAAGGTTGCTGCTGCGCAGGGTGCGGCGGGAACAAACCGGGCTGGTAATACGATTGGCGCTGGGCCTGGGCCTGAGCCTGAGGGTTATCCTGGCCAGGAGTGTTCGAAGGAGAAGGACGTGGCCGGATACTGGCCAAGAGAGCCTGGAGATCGGTGGGGGTGGACATTTCTGCCGTTACGCCGTGGTTACAGGCGACCTCCGCCGGTGGGATCCAAGCTTTGCAGAGCTCTCAGAAGCTCTCTTTCGAGAGGGAGAGAGTATGAGATTGGAAATCACAAAGGCTAGAAAAGACGACAAAATAGCAAACCAGAGATAAGTGCAAGAAAAGAGAGATGAAATTGAAGAACGTGGTGAAGTAGAGAGGAAGGGTGAAGGAGAGAAGAACTCTCGGTAATATTGTTCGAGCCGTGGGTGTGGCTGAGGCTGCCGAGTTGTGGCGAACTGTGGCTAGTGTTATTTCTTGCCCGACTCGCGTCATTAGTGATCAGATTACTTCTTACTTCCTTCAAGCCCACTTTCACTTACTGAGTTCGAAGGTGGTGAGCTCACTGGACTATCGAGATAATTTTATTACGTCAAACGACGCTCTTGTCTATCTATCTGCACCTTTCCGACAAAAGGCCAGCGCCCGCAAACCCCATAATCATGTTCTGTCTACGAAGGTGAGAGATGCAAGCAACCAACAACAAAGTAGGGGGGGATTGTGAAGACTAACCGAGATGACCTATATATTGCAGCTGGCTGCCTCTCCTTTTTATCCCGACCAACGCCTCCCCGCTTTTCATCATCTCGTTTGTTGCGTTGACATACATCATTCACCGGCCATGTATCTATTGCTCCGCATTGCTCCTGATTCTATTCGTCTCCTCGTGTCATTGGTCAGACCGTTGTATCTTTGATCTACGAAGTAATTGGTTTGCACCACGCTATACCTCAGAACCTGGCGGTTATGTCATCTCAGGCAATGCAACCTCCGAAGCAACAATGCCTGGTGAGGGTCTGACGGAATTTGTCTTCGATACTATAAACTCCACCGCCAAGGTCTTGGCTGGTGCTGCGTTGGAAGGTGTCCAACAACGATTTTCCCCTAATGGAATGGAGTCAAGGCCTGACGAGTGGACAGGAGTTGGGTTGGAGTGGATGCGCAGCCTGTTGGGGAGACAGGAGTGGACTCTTCCATGTGTTGACGTCAAAGTCCGACTATGAAGTGTGCAAAAGTTTTGATTAAGCATGATTCCCCCATTGATGTATTCAAATGAGCTTTTGATTTCTCATACATTATTTACGACTCGTGTGTGTTTTCAGTTCATGTGCAGATCTCGACATCCTTCCTTGAACGCCCATGAACAACCATTGTACATGACCTTATGTATATTATCGATCATTGAATGGCTTTTTTATTAGAGATATAGATTCTTCGGCTGCTGTAACCTGAACTATGACATGCAATGACAAGTTCCCCAACTATCATACGGCTAGGGCCTGCAAGCAAATTACATAGAAGAAGGCTTATCGATGTCATTCTTTGAGGCCGGACAGATACCGAGAGTAATAAGTATATTTTCAATCGATGGAAAACAAGCAACACATGAGCACAGCTAGATCCGGATCTTAGTTTTTCTTTCCAAAACAAACTCGATGAACGAAGAAGAATATAGTTACCTGACTCTTGTAAGTCGTAAAACACTTCTGCAGAGCAACCGGATCATTGTTGGCAATAGCATTGGCAATGCACGTAAGCTGCGCCGTCAAATTGAGACAAGCAGCGACGCTACACGCTTCTGGGAGCTGCCGGACGATATCTAGATTTTCTTGTCGTACTATATACATAATTTGTATTAGTATGGTAGCTTACCCAGATTACATTCGAAGGACAGTTAGGTATATAGAAAGAGATCTGTACAGGAGGGTTGGGTATGGGTATTATTGACTACAGGAGCTATTCCTGCAGCAGAGGTCAACCCCGAGGCGAGGACAAGACCAGCGATATTGAAACGCATATTCGATAAAGTTTGGGGAGAAGAGAACCGAGATGGATGAATACAACTTTGGTATTTGTTAAGTTATCAAGGAGCTTGGTTTCGCTGCTGTGGTGATTATTATATACACTGGCATTTTAGATTCGTTTTCAGCAAAAGAAATGACTCTCAGCATGAATGTCACATTGGTGGCCGATTGGTAGATTGGCATATGAAGCGAAGTGCAAACTAGCATGGCCAGGTGGTCACACTGAGTCGCATTAGGATGGCTTGTCTTTCCCCAATTGTCCGCATCGGCGTGGGTGGGTAGTATCAGATACTGCCTAGCTAGTATAAATAATTTGAGGGACGTTTACACAAAAGCCTTCCCGTGAATGATTTGGTTTTAGGGGTGGGAATCGGCTTGTTTTAGTTAGGGCTGATGAACTCGGAAAAGGTGAGATAGCTAAAAAGTCGATTATTTGACATGGGTTACAACTAAGTACATAGTGAGGAGGTATCTGCCCGAAAACAAAATAACGCATAAACGCCGACGGACAAGTGACCGTCCTATAGTTGGACTAGGAGATTGAAACTCCGGGTAAATTCATAAAACATAGATAGGCTGGAACGAGTCATAAAACAAGGCATGATAGCCACCGTAAAAGTAAGAGATGGCAGGTGAATCGTGAAACATGACTCAAAGAAATGGGGTATCACAACGTCGACAATCCCAGTTCAAGATCCAGACTTGTAAACAAGCATGAAGAAAGTTATGTGTGGCAGAAAAATAATTAGAGACGTGAAAATTCGCACGCAGGAAACTGACAAAGACAAAAACAAAGTCATAGATGATGCAGATGGCATAATTATCAGATCAGTTGTAACCACCGCCACCCACGGGCAGAGGCCAATCGTCTTCGGTGATACTGCTCCAGAAGGCCCAGATACCGGAGACAGAAAGGAGAGTGAAGAGAGTTTCGAATAAAGCTCCACTGATCTTGCCATCCGCGGCCTGGCACAAGTGGGTGCTGATCACATAGTTGAAAACCTGACCAATTGCAAACAAGATGGCAGCACCGGTGAGATACACTGTTACACCTTTAGCATATGTTTATTTGAGTCCAATGTGGTGTACTTACGCATTGGTCGGAACTCGCCCAGAACCCGAAGCACTAGTACGGCTTCCAGGAGGTAGAACAAGACCAGACAGACGAGTGGGAAGAGTTGGTATAGAACATAGAGGGCGATGTTGCGATTTGGTGGGTCATAACTTGACTGGAAACGGCCAGTCCAATCGAATCCGGTGTCCAAGGCAATATAACCTGTCCCAATGAAGAGGGCCGCAGCAGATGCGCATATGAGACCGATGGAAGCTGCGGTGCCGTCGTCAAGCAACTGGAAGCCGACAAGTGCGTTCATGAGAAGGACCCAGGAAGTAGCCGTGATCGCGGCGATATGTACTGCGGAAAATCCCTAGATTCTCCTGTCAGCCAAGATCTCGAGTGTATCCTGTAGAAAATCCTACCTTTCGGACTGCATCGCTCAGTGGGAAGCCACCGACTGTGAAGATCTCGCAGATCTCAACGATGATAAAACCGAGCAAAAACAATTGCATTTCCCTGCGCGCGCCATCTTGTCAGTTGATATTTCCAAAGCGAATGAAGATGTTCCATACCTCCGGCCGACAGCAGCGTGCTTCTTGTCCGATCTCCATATCATACCCGCACTCAAGACAATGGCGATGAAGGCCAGTAGAATCGAACCTATCAGGAATCAGCCATCATGCTCATATCATTTGTCCCCAATCATATCGGCCTCGGCTTCGGCCTCGTAGATTCGTACCTAAATTCCGAAGATGTCTCTCCTCACTGAGAGGAATGCCGGTCAGATCGCACGCGCCGAAGGCAACAGCCGCGGTTTCATTGGTAAAAAGCTGTACGCGATAAATGATACCATTAGTTGAGAATTCTATGGGGCCATTGCAGGGGGTCTTCAAACAAATCTCACTCACATTGCAGACTGGTAAGGTTGAGTCGCGACAGAAGTTCTGTGGTACCCATACGGGTGTGCGGTCAGTATCTACCCATCGGAGGGACAATATCCAGGTCGATCTGCACTTACGTGAAAGTTCCCGAATTGAGTGGACCCCATTATGAATTGGAGGTTCAAACGAGTGGAAAAAGACAGTAGGCAATGTTGACAAAGACCGTTTTGAGACTTGAGAGTTCAAAGATTGGGGTCCTGATCTGCGCGGAGGACCGGTCCAGATCGGTAGATCTCTAGTGAAACCAGGTTAAAGTTGAGGTTGAAGTAGAAATAGAAGTAAAAGTAGAGAAGTGAAACTGTGTACAAACTGTTGTAGCCGTGCAAGAGAGCAAACTGTGAGGGGAAACAAGAACTCAAGATCCCCACGGGTTACTCGGGGGACTCACAGGGCTGCCGCTAGTGTGTGGATTTAGGGGGAGAAAGGGAAAAAAAAAGGGAAAAATGAACAAAAAATAAAAAAATAAAAATAAAACCGTCTCTTCCAAGTGTTTCTCTCGAATTTTCAAATTCGAATTCAAAAGATCAAAACGATTCAACTTTGTGGCAAAGATTCCTTGGGGTCCAGTCGGCTAATAATAGTACACACACACACTGTCTCCTGTCTTACGTAGCCGTGTAGAGAAGTATTTCAACCACGGGTATGTTATATAAAATTGCTGTGATGTGTAGAGAGAGGACGCTTTCTTTTTCTCTAAGTCTAGTGTCGATATTCTTTTCTTTTCTCTTCTCTCTTTTTTTTTTTTTGGGAATAGCCATAAAATGGTTTACCTCAACCCTTGCCGGAGGCAATAATATATGGTCGCCAGGTCGACCAGATGGACTCAAGCCACAATTTAGTAAATGCACCGGTTGACACATACGATCCTCTGAATTTTGAATTTATAAGGCTTTGGATTGTGATATATGCACCCGGTTAGGTTTGGTGCCTGCAGCGCTATACCGTTACTCTGTATCTCTACAGAGGATTCACATGGTACGTACTATGTTGTATGTATAAGTATACCCCTTAAGAACTCGATCCAGTCCCATTGGAAATCAATTGATTCACATCCAATATTAGCGAATCAGCCCCTTCTTCGGCACGGTACTCCATGCAGTTTGACAATACTCGAACCCTCTTAACAAACATCCTCGATCACCAATTTTTGCCCATCATGATCGCCCAGATCCAGCTTCAAGGTGCGCCCAAACAGCTCGAGCAGCATCTCAAAGCAGACCTTGGTAATAGCCGGATCATACCGACCCTTGCTGAGCTCATCACGGATAAAGGCATCTGGATAAGTATTCTCGTCAGCATATTTGTGTTTGGTGTTTAAGGGATTTGTGCAACTCACGTTGCGCCCAAGCGACTTCATAGAAACCGAACAAGACACCCTTATCATGCAGGGTCTTACGGATGAGATCGCGTCCCTCGGGCGGGACGTGGTTATCGTTTTTGCCGAAGATCTAGAGATTTTGTTTAGCAATTGACCCAAATGAGAAAAATAGGAGAATAAAAAGATGAAAAAAAAAAAAAAAAACATCCAAGACATACCATTAGCATCTCACCCTTGATATCCCCAGCTCTCTCTAGACTATCATCATTTTTGCCAAGGGCAAGGGTCTTGCTATGGATATCCGTGGCAAAGTAACACACGCTCGCCTTGACCCGGCTATCCAGCGCGCAACGATAGGCCAAATGGCCGCCCAGACACATGCCTGTGGCACCAACTTGTCCATTGCAAGTGGGTAGCGAAAGCAGATAATCCACGCTGAGACTAGCGTCTTCATCATAAGCGGCAAGTTTCTAATAAACAATCAGCGGTGCAATTTAACTCCCCCAGAAAGAGCCCAATGAAGAACAAGAATAGAAAAGGCAAGTAAAGCATATGTTCACGGAAGCTGTATTATTTCACTTACCTTGCCAATCTTCCATGCATTCCCCTTGTCCGTGTCCTCCGCGTCATACTTCAGAGCTTCCGGACCAGTGAATTCATGGTAGCTCGAAGGAGCAACACAGATGTAGCCCTGGCCTGCGATCTGGCGTGCAAATCGTGCCACGGGGCCCGTTACTGCGGGTCATGATCTTTAGTCGAGGTGTTGGGGAATGATCGTAAAGGGGATACAAACCTTGATAAATCTCGCTGAAAACTACGACTCCGGGGAAGCGGGCTTTGGGGTAACCCGGGATTGTCGGGTGAAAGACATAGATGCCTAGTAAAATGTTAGGATTGGCATTATGAAGGGGCAATGGCTTTATAGAAGGGGGATGTGCTATATGAGAGGGACGATTGTGTACATACGCATCTTCCCCTGTCCATCCGCTGTGGTGGGGACATCATGATAGGATTCTTGGATCAGCATAGTGTTTTTCTTTTCTTTTCAAATATAGAAATAGATTGGAATTGAATCGAGCAATCAATTGGAATGACCTCAAGAATACAGATGATTGAGGCGCGGCGAAATCATTATCGATAACACACGCGGGGCAGTCATGTGCTGATACTGGCCAGCATCTTAACACTCGGTTTAATGTACTCCGAAGAGTTCTTTACTTTTGCCTTTTAAAACAGAAATTGTGCAATTGAAGAGATTAGAATAGAATATCATCTCTTCACATTTTCGATCAACTTCGTGGTAGTAGTACGTGATTCGGCACAATCGTACAACAAGTCATGAAAAAGCCCCATGGTGGATTCCAAAATAACTCAAGGCCACCATACGATGGCCGGAACATCTTGCTTCATAATCGGTGCAGGTATTAATAATTTATTTGACGTTTTGTTTTATACATATAATACACCAAGTTTGTATGGCTGAATGATGGTCTGCTTAGACCTAAAGAAGAAAAAAAAGTCCCCGGGCTCCCAACTACTGAGCCTCCAATGAGTCCAAGGGGACGCAGCAAGCTGCGATTAGAAGACGTACTATAGCATACAAGGTTAGTCACAGGCGCTGGGAAAAGTCTTCAAGATCAAGTTACTCACAGGAATGAACAGGTAAGGCACCTGGCGTTCGTATTCGAGCCAAGTCTCGCCGTACTTGGTGCGACAACGCTGGATGTCACGAAGGGCACGGTGGCTGATCATGCAAGCGAAGAAGACAGGATAGAACCAAGGGAACGGGCTTGAGAATCCGGTAATCAAACCCCAGTTCAGAGCGAAGTAAAGATCGCACGTGTAGTGGATCTTGCGGGCCTTGCCATCTATACGGTTGTTAGTATCGGAGCTTGTAGGTTTTCCATATATGGCATGAACTTACACCACCCATCTACAAGAATCTTTGAGCCATCAGGCGCAGTAAGAGTCTTGGGGTTCTTCACCGTCTGCCAAGGAAGCTGAGGGAAGGTGTTGCGGGACACCATGGTACCACGCTCCTGCTGGCGGAAACGGTTCTTCTGGCTGTTCGTGGTATCCCACACCCAGTAGACGAACAGGTAGGCGACGAAGAGGAAGGCAAGGAAGTAGCGGTTCCACCGGTATTCAGCAGGGTCGTGGTTGGCGAGGTAAATTGTGCAGTGGCAGTAGCTCAGAGGCACACCGGCCAAGTTCCAGAAGATCAGCATGAAGCCCCACTTCTCGTAGTACATATCCCTGCAAACTGTTAGGGAAATAATTATGATTTTGGGGCAGGAGATACCCTTACCAGGTGGAAACAATGCACTCCTCACCCTTGGAGCAGGCATTGGCGTAAAGGTAATGAGCCATGACAAGGAACATAACCTCGCCGGACACATAACCATACAACTCCCATTGGCGTGCAGCGGCGCCCATAGACAGGCCGAGCAGAATGTACCAGGGCAGGCGGACCTCGAAAAACATCTTGAAGTCGAGGATCTTGAACATGCGGGGGGTTGAGCTCGGCACCCATGAAGAAGTCATAGATCGGGTAGCCGGTCATACGGTGCTCTGCGCCACGCGCCAAAGCCGAGAAGTAGGCAATGAAAGAGACGATGTATCCAGACAGGATGGCAACGGTGAGCAAGGGGCCGAACTCATCAATGATGGTGTAAAGCTTGAAAATCCCAGTTACGTGGGCAATCAGTGCCAATGCAATGCTGGTGTAGAAAGACCACACACCAGAGCAGTAGTATGGCAGCTGCTTGCCACCCATATGTGGCAGAGGTCGGCCCGTAACGCTCACACCGGGAAGAAGCACGTAACAGGCACCCTCAAAGATGAAGAAAACCCAGTAGATAGTCCATGCCTTAACCGATGGGAAAGCACCGGTGTAGACCAGATTGACCAAGTGTGCGAAAAAGTCGCCGTAACTCTCGTTCTCCGCGGGACGAGGGAACTTGCCGTCGTAGTAAGTGGCACCAATCCACATGTAGTACATGAGCATGGGGAATCCGATCATCATGGACAGCACTCCCAAAGAGCCACCGAATTCAAAGTGTCCGCTGTAATCCACCTTGGGATCGAGGCCTTCCTCCCAACCGTCCACCACGCGCGATGCGGACTTGGACTTAGGAGTGGCAGCCTTACCATTGGTCGTGAACTTTACCGGCGTATCATCCTCTTCAGTCTTGACTTTGGCTGAAGTACGACGACGGGAGGTGGTCTTGGAACTCTCTAGGGAGGGGGAGGGGGCAACCTCATGCTCGATACCCTCGAAGACAGAACTGTTGCGGGTGGCACGACGGCCGCCGGGGGTCTCAATGAAGCCGGGACGATCCATTTTTCTGGAGGAAGACAGGATTCCAAATTAGCTTGACAAAAAGCCTACTATGTACAAGCCAAAAGTTCCGGGGATTGGCAAAATATAACCCTGGATGATCCAGGGTGTGGATACGTCGCAACAGACGTCCGGTGGAAACTACTCACTTAGGGGTCTTCCCCGTTTGAGAGCGGGTTAAAGTCATAGTCGCTCAATCGGAAGACCAAGGTTCCGACTGCAATTGAGGGTACGGAAAGGAATGGCTGAGGGTAAAAAGGAGCGAGGGTGGAAAAAAACAGGAATGTCCTGAATGTTTACTTTGTCCGCGGGCCCCGTACTAATGGATTACATAATGACTAATTTTAAAATCTGCAATTGGTATTTAACTATCTGGTTACTGGTATACTTGAGTTTATAACTATTGAAATATTCGTGTCCTTTTGGTAATAGTAGTAGTAGTAGTAGTAGTAGTAGTAGTAGTAGTAGTAGTAGTAGTAGTAGTAGTAGTGAGAGTTAGTTGTATGTCTAAAATCATTATGTTGTACTCTGTAGTATAGATTCCCTTTTCATAGATGCTAAAAGGGGCTAAATGCTTTTTCTTCCACTAAATAAATATTTCACCCCACAAAGACAATTTACCAAAAGAGAAGAACCTTGGAATTGGTTGTGTCATTGTGGGGGAGCTCGTTGTCAACTGCCTATTTCTCCTAAACCCTAGATCTATGTAATTTACCCCTTGGTATATCTCAACATAGAAAAGACCTATGATTTATGCTTTTTAGCACATTTGCGTATACATCTAAAAAGACCCTTAAAAAGACCCTTTAAAAAGACCATCTAATAAAACCAAAAAGACGTCGGCATGTTCTGTATAACGTTTCTTATATCATCTTGGGGCAAATGGTTCAGAATTATAAATGTAATTGTGTGTTTATTTCATTCAAATATTCTAGAAAAATCCAACAGTACCAGTAGAATAGCATACAGACAGGCACAGGCGAAAATCACACTAAGTCAACAACCCGAAAAGTCGGGGAAAGGGACCATACATAGTATATGTTAATGCAGTACAAGGCCAATGGGAATTGAGAAAAGTACAATAAACAATGAGGCTTCGTTGAAGCCTATGCCCCTCTCTGGCTGCTAGTGGCCATCAAAGTAATCTTAGTTTTGTTTTTCTTCTTTTTCTTACCCGCACTGGAAGATGGTACAGGATTAGGACTTTGGTCTCCGGGTGCCGTCCGAGCGAGCAATTCAGATTCCTGTTGGGCAAATAGCTCATCCTCCCAGTCCTGCCGCCACCCGTCACTGTGTATAGCTCTTTGAGCCTCAAGGCTTGGTGACAGTGAACCCACTGCCGTTGTGCCCCAAACAGTGCGGATACCTGGGGGACTGGTGGAAGGGGAAGCCAATGCCCCGAATCCAGACGATGAGCGTGGAGGAGAGGCCGAGGAGGCGGTGCCGGGGTCAAACAATGTAGAATCCACGTTGTGAGGAAGTGGTTGGAAGTCATGAGCAGAGAATGGAGCCTCACTGACGCTGGCACTTCCAATACTTGGCCGCTTGCGCCGAGCGGCTGCCCATCGTTTGTCGTCCTCTTCCTTTTCCGCGCGAATGCGGTCCTTTTCTTCCCGGGCTTCTTTTTCCCGGTTACGTTTTCGACGTCTATCAGTCTCTGCGCGGAAACGCGCCAGAACCTCAGGGACAACCACGTCCCTCCAGTCGCACTCCAGGAAGCTAACCTCACATCCCTGCGGGAGATGCCCGAGATATTTCACTCGCTTGCGAAGCTCATCATCCACGATGTGGCCTGTTGATATGTGCTCCACTCGCGGTAGGATAGTTGCAGGGAACAGAGAATATTCCCCAAATGCAGCCTTGAGGATGCGAATATCCAAGGACGAGAGGTAGAAGTGAGGCAACGCCTGATAAAAGTGATATGGTTGATCTGACCCGGAAGACACTGGTGTTTGCTTGCTGGGGCCTTTCCCTTTAGCTTCGGCGCCGAATTCAGGATCGAGATGGACCCCGTCTAGGGTTTTAGAGAGATGGTCCGCTTCATCTGATGTAGCCGGCGTAGGTGCAATAGTGCGCTCCTTAACTGGCCGGACCTCAGGCGGATTGCCAATGCCTTTCAGCTTCTCTTTGGCATCCTTGATGGAACCAATTGCTTTTCGAGTCCAAGTATTCTCATCACCAAAGAGAAGCTCGTCTTCGACTTCCTGTCTCTGGAGGTCTTCGATCTCAGCATCATACTGGGCGGTCATATATTCTTCGCCACCTTTCATGATTCGAGCATAGTCGGCAACTTCCGCCACATGATACCACGGAACATCCTCGCCTGGACCAAGTGTCTCAGATCCATCACGAGGCAGAGCAAGAGTGCTGCCTGACTCTCGCTTTACTAGTCTCAATACAACATCACCACCTTCGACGGGAAGATCACCTTCTTGGCCACGGAACCACCTGACAGGTCGGGTCTCAGAGATATACACGGAGTCCCAGCAGATAGGACATTTCTTCCAACGGTGCCGTTTTTCAGGGACCGTGTTATCGTCATCGGATGAATGCATGTATCGGATAAGGCATGGGAGGCAGAAGATGTGACCACACCGTGCCATCCGTGGTGCAACCGGAGTAGAAAGACATATGGGACAACTGGCAGCCTGTGTTTGCGCAGATACCAGCACTTGAAGGACCGCGGCCCAATCGAGATGAACATCGGCATTGGCTGCCTGGGCATGGAAATTTTGATTTGGCATCACAATAAACCGATAATTCGCGTGTACATAACGCGATTTGTCTACTGCACCCGCTCCCCAGGATGTATACCGTCGAATGTTGCGAGGGGGTGCTTGGTATTGCGGGCGAGGTGGAAGTGAAAAGTTCATCAGGTGAGTGATGGACGTCTGTCCCTTCCGACTAGTGGTGGATTTCATGGCGGCCTATATAGTATAACGACTCCAGGGTCAGCAGGCAGCTCTTGTGGAAGATAGACCTGTGAACCCACCGATTCGTTGTACTCGTCATCATCCAATAACCGAGGTTTTCTTTGACGGTTATGTTGACTCTTCCGAGCTTGGTTATTCCTTGGGGTGGCTGAAGTCTTCAATGATACCCCTGACCGAGAACTTCCAGAGCCTCCTACGCGCCTCTGAGAGCTGCTGTTTTCTGCCGGAGCTGCTGAGTGGAATGGAGTAGACGAGACTGTATTTGGAATGTTTACCGCTTTCGAAGGGGGCGGGTTTTGTCCTGCATTGGATGACATATCTATGCGGTATTTGTCCTGCAACAGTGAGACCCCAATAAACCAAATAATGCAGAGAGACGAGACAAGCCGGTTGGCTCAAATGGAAGATGAGGGGTGCTATGGGGGACTGGATAAAGCCAACAACTGATAAGATGCAATCAAGTAGCAGGCAGTATATTGAGTGTTCCACCAGTTGCCTCGGATTGAACCAGAATAGGTGAATGAGAATGAATGGCCCTAAAGGCCATGTAAGAATAGTAGTAAGGATCGAGGGACGGCCCTCAGGGTGCCAGATGATGTCGTGAAGGTACAGTTTCGCCCCTCTCGGGTTACAAATCGTAATGTCACGTGAACCAGCAAGTCCCGACACCCCAATTCGGTCTCGGTCCCCTTCAGCTTCATTTCGTTTGACGGTGAATGAGAGGTCTTCTTTTTTTTTTCCCCTTTACTCCTGCTCACTCGCTTATTACCCCGACCTGTCGACTCTCTCCGCCTAGAGGTTCACTTGTACAGCGGTCTGCTTCTTTTTCTTATTTCTTCACTCCGATCTGGTTTGCCAGTCTCCTTCCAATCAATCTCCAGCAACCCCAACAGCTCTTTTGACCCAGTTCATCCTCCACTCCCATTCTCCAACATATCCAGCACCTCTTACTGAGGCCACGATGGCTGCCTAAATGCGCCAGCAGCTCCAGATTTTTCTTTCCTCTTGACTGCTATCGCGCATGGCACTCATTTGAGGCAACGCGTGACCGAACGTCAAGACAACTTCTTTCTCTAGCCAGCTCAAGATGAATCACCACCTCCCTGCCATGCCGCATGGGCAGCTGCCCATGCCTCCTTCAAGGCGCCAGCAAGACTTCTCTTACAACGCTGCGCCTCCCCACATGCGATCACCACAGTACATGGGATATCCTCCTCACATGAATGGCCACATGCCTCATCAACAATACTCATCTCAGCAATACCCTTACTGGTACCCACCATATGGACATATCCAGGGCCCCCCACGTCCATACCAGGCGCCCTATGCACCGATGATTGTATCCTCTTATCCTCACTCGCAGCCTGTCATGGCGCCCACGCATATTCCTCATTCGATGCCCATGCATCATCAAAGAACTCCGACCCCACTGCAACCGATCATGTCTCCATCTGTCATGCATCCATCGATTCAGCCCATTCAGCCCGAAGTGCAGGAATATCCTGCTATTCTACCGCACTCGGCCCAGGGATATCCCATCGCTTCTCCGCCACCACGATGGGAGCCACAGTCAAACTTGCCGCCGAAGCCCACTTTTGCCGCACCAGTAAGTGTTTGCTTTTATCTTGAATTATATTGTATTTTCTTTTTCTAACTGTTGGTTTAGATTCCTTGGCTCTCTGTTCCTGAGCAGCCCTTCCCGGCCAGAATCCCACACAGACGTCGCAAGGGCCGTGTCATGCAATCATCGGTTGAGCTTCCTACCAAAGACACGCACATGGTCATTAAAGGAGATGAAAACGAAGAGGTTCAGCCATCGACTTCATCCACCCAAGAATCTTCAGAACCTCAAACCCCAACAACCGCCACATTCCAACAGTCAGATGCAGACTCCACACAATCCACCACTCCTTCGTCAGTTGCGAGATCACAGGCACAGTCGAAAAGCTCAAAGCCTGCTCCGGTTATTCCAGTGGTGCCCAATGTCCCATCTACCCCACGTCGCCAAGCCAAGGATGGTAGCGTCGCATCCGGAACTCCTAAATCAACTGAACCTGCTACTCCTGCCCAAGTGGTAGAATCTGACGAAGCTCCTTCCACTGATACCAAGACAATCTCGCCCGTATCAGTTGCACCCAAGTCTTGGGCTGATTTGGTCCGTTCGAAGGAGTCGGCAAAAGCAGCAAGCGTCGCCGCCGCGGCCGGTTTGGCTGAGCCACACGGATTGCCTGTTCAGAAAAACAAATCCCTCGCAGATGTCCTGAGCAAATTGGGAGAAGATGTGACTCAATACAGCGACAAGATCGCTTTCCTTGAACCTCGCGGACTAGTCAACACTGGAAACATGTGCTACATGAACTCTGTGTTACAAATTCTTGTTTCTTGTACCCCGTTCTACCAGTTTCTTGATCATCTTGGCCGACGTGCTGCACACACCTTCCACAGCGATCTTCCTTTGATCGATGCGATGATCATGTTCATGAAAGAATTCCGTGTTATTGACGCGGCTACTTCCGAAGACCAACTTCGTCTCAGATTGAAGCCCAATGAGCTTGAGCAATATGGCGAGTCTTTCGTCCCTGAATTTGTTTATGAGATGGTTCGACAGCTGCCACGATTCAGGGACATGCGGCGCGGACATCAGCAAGACGCTCAAGAGTTCTTAGGCTTCCTTCTCGAGGAGATGCACGAGGAGTGCGCTCGTGCCGAATCGCACACTGCTGCGAAGAAAAGTGGCGATTCTTCCGTCGATGGCTGGTTGGAAGTTGGCCATAAGCAAAAATCAGCGGTCACCCAACTGTCTGGCTCTCTTGCCGCTGAGTCGCCGGTCACCAGAATATTCGGGGAAAGCTTCGCTCGGAATTCAAGGTGCCTGGTAATAAGACATCTGTCACATTGGAACCCTACCAACCTTTGCAACTCGACATTGGGTCGCATGACGTTCACAACATTCTCGATGCGCTCAAGGGAATGACAAAGCCGGAAAGCATCCAGGGTGATTTCAACTCGTCGCGCGGACCCAACATCACCGCGACCAAACAAATCTTCATCGAGACCTTGCCCCCTGTCCTCATTCTTCATCTCAAACGCTTCCAGTATGACAGTGTCACAGGTGCCACTCAGAAGATCTGGAAAAAGGTTGGATATCCCCTAGACCTGGAGCTTCCGCGGGAGGTTTTCCCACCTCATCGGCGTAACGCCATGACTTCCCAGGGAGGTCCCCCAAAGTATCGCCTTATGGGTGTCATCTACCACCACGGCAAGAACGCCAGCGGTGGTCACTACACAGTCGATGTTCGGCGACAGGAAGGCTTGGAATGGATCCGCATGGACGACACCTCTATCCATCGCGTTCGCAGCGAGGAAGTGGCGGAAGCTGGTGGCGAGGAAGACCCCAAGCTTCTCGCTGCCGCACTTGAGCAGCACAAGCATGGAAAGATCCCGAACGGCAATATCTTCGACCATATCGATCAGGATGACATGGATTTGACTGACAGCGATAAGGGCTGGAGCCAGGTCAATGGCAACGGTGCCAACGGACATGCAAGTAAGAAATCCGTGAACGCAGTCACTCCACCTCCCGCCGCTCCCTCTGGGGTCCGAACTCCCCTGGGCCGCTATGGTTCTCGTGACAACAAAGTGGCCTATCTATTGTTCTACCAGCGAATGGATTGAGGCTCCTCAGCCCGATAGCTTCGCCAGGAGGCTAAACGCCCATTCCTCAACGACGCATTGAAAAAGCATCATACCCACTACATCCTACGACACATCCAGTTTTGTGTCTTCCACAAAGTCATGCATTTTGATCCTCACTTGAAAGGATTATCTGCCACCTGTATTGACAGGTCATACATAACATCCATCAATCTCGGCGAGCTCGTTCCATTTTTGTGTTTACAGCTCGCCTCTGCACATGAAACACTGTTCACAATGGAGCCATCTGGGGAGAGGAACATAATCTTGGGCATGGCGGTCCCTTGACACGTACCTCTCTCCCCAAAGGCTTCTTGATCATATCTCACTTTTGCTTCACAAAAAGCATTTATCCAAACTCCGTTTTGACCTTTTTTTGCTCTTTTTTTCCCCTAGTGTGATGAACCCGAAATATTTGCTACTCCACAACCCATTGTCTTTTGAGCCAATTTCTTTTTTCCATCTAGCTTTGGGCTGTATCTTATGGGATATTGACCTCGGTTTATACCCCTCTCCGTTTTCTCATGGACACATTCTTCGAAGCCATGTTGCCTTGCCTCTATCGCACATGGTCAGGCCGAAAAGAATGGATCTCCATGAGCTGTTCCTACCAAATTCTTGATGTACTTTGCCATGTCATTCGACATCTGGCGTCGATACAGGAGATCCTGTGACGAAGTCACGAATTTCCTTATCTCGATCTTGATTGCTTTGTCTGCATAGAAGGGTGTTGAAGAAGGCTGGGGTTGTTCAGCCTGGGGCATCAAGGGCGTTTCTTGCTCGTGTTGGGAAGAGAAGGGGGGTTAATGGTGCAAACCTCGGTGGAGGTTGGAGGTTGGAGGTTTGGAGTGTGGAGCTCACAGGTCGGATGTCTGAGTTGCGTGAGAACGCAGAATACCTGGTGTGGTATGTCAAAAAGCCTGTTTTTACCAAAAAAAAAATTTCAAAGGAAGTTTTCAAGTTATCTCTAAGAGTGTTGTAGTAGTAAACATCACCTATACCATGGATTGGGACAGTCTCTTATTTAACACAGCAATCTTGATTGCCGGAGTCTTCGTTCTTAACTATGGTGCAGATAAATTCATCGATCACACCGTGCATCTCTCCAACTCTCATTGCCCTTTTGACTACTAGGGCTGAATACGAAGAGGTGCATAGCTTCGAGCTTCTCCATCTAATCGGTCTATGCTGACAAGCTCTCCCTAGCTCGCTGTTGTTGTCGTTGCAATCCTACAAGGTCACACCCCTTTAGCCCTGGGCAATGTCATGGGATCTTCAATTTCCAACATCCTGCCTTTTCGCTGGGTCATGGAGTTCGACATTTACAGGCACTAGATCAGAGCATCCCTCTTCAGCGCAACTATCGCAAGGCTAATTCAGCACGAACACCCAAAATGTACAGAGTTAGTTGTATATAGCATGTAGGTTATACCCGGTATGACGAATAGTGAACCGAGTTACGAAGTAATGAATATATGCATTCAAGCATGGAAGACAGGCATTCCAGCCTCGCTCTTCACTTCCACTTCCACTTCCCCATCCTCCACAAACTCAAATCCAAGAGCCCTCCAATTCAACTCCTTCCTCCAATGTAGTCCATAGTATCCCCTCTCTTCCTGTCCATCAACCGCAGAAAAAGCAGCCTCTGCACCTTGATCATGCTCATCGGCCACAGGGCCAACGGCCGGCTCAGAAGACAGGCCGCCACTCTCTAACCTCCCATTTCTAGGGAAGATGACAGACCGGAACCGGGAGAGAAGCATGCCCATAGAGCAGCATAGACACGGCTCATGGGAAAGGTAGACATCCAAGTCTGTGCAGAGGTAGCCACCCTGTGAGCGGGTGCGAATCCGCGGAGCTGCGGGCGTTGTGGCTGTAGTCGAAGAATCCGCCAGTACCACGGTAGACGGGGGAGGAGCGGGGAGAGGTGGGTGTTGGAGCTGGGATTGCGGGGAGACTGTAGAGGGGTCGATAGTCAAGTCGGATTCAGGATTAGGGACTTCGTGCTTCCTCTTCAATGGGGAGGACGGCGATTGAGGATGGTTTGAGGAGTCGGGGGATGCACCAGGACGATGGCGGTATAAGAAGTATGATTCGAAGGCGCTCAGTTCTGGCTGTTTTATTTCTGGCTTCGATGGATCTGCAGTAGCTGTCGATGCAGACACGCCGGCAGAACGATCGTGTTCTCGGCGCCAACGAGCAATCAGCTCGACGGCACGCATTAACGCGTGCAGTTCAGGCCCGCCCTCGATATCTGCGTTGTATGTCTTGCTCGCTGGGTTCGGCGCTACTCCGGTGTGCAGCTGGGCCTGGGATGGCGCGCCCGCCTCGGATCGAGAGTACCGCGCATCACCGGCAACTGCGAGGACTGCTTCGTGCCATTCTGATGTAGTGTCGTATCCACCCTCATAGCCTGCCTCGGTTATCTCTTCTTCGATGGCAGGGTCGACTATCACTGCACCTACGCCACGGCCTAGCCCAGATTGTTTTGCTTCCTCTGCTACTTTGCGCGCGAGGGATAAGTAGTACCCTGCTCGTGGTTCAATAGATTCCTGTGCGTGCTTTATGGTCTGAGGGGGCGGGGCGACATTTGAGCGGGGTGCTGCTGGGTTGAATATGACTGGCCAGAGGGTCTTGGTCCATTTCTCGGCTTGAGTTGTGTTGAAGGGGGTGCAAGGGGGATTTTGATGGGGTGAAGTTGAATAGTCGGGGAAGGGGGACCGGAGGGTGAAGCTTCCTCTGGCGTTTCATTTGTCGTTGGAGGATCGTTTGTAGCGGCCGGCGCTGTGTCTGGCGCAAACGGAGCGAGCAGGGTCTTGAGCGTGGTGAGATCGGGCAATGGTGGTGATATGAGGACGAAGATGGTTTGTGTCGGGGTCACTAGAGGAGCGCTCTGACTTTCAATCGCTGCCCTCAGCGGCGGTGGGAGTAATTCTCTTTTGGCGAAGCGACGGAGGTGGGATAGCGGAAGGGAAGGATCTCTGGGGAAAGCCGTGTCGATAGCCCTAAGGAATTAATTAATCCGGTGTTCGAATCGGCAAAGTATGCGAATCTGTAGCTTACTTTATCACCTTGGATGCAGATTTCACATTGACTTCTGCGACAAAGGCATCGGCTATTTCTTGGGTTAATCATGATGTCGCAAGAACAGGACGATATTGTAGGTCATACCGAATTCTTCTTGTGGCCTCGTCTCTTGGACTGTTCGAATAGGCACCACTTGCCCATCAAGGGGCTTGATGCCTCTGATTGTCTTTTCGACGTCCATTCTAGCTATCTCGAATGACACCCAGTCTGGCGCGGGGTGGAATAGAATGTGTCAAGATAGGTTTCAGGATGTACAACCAATGTCATGGCCTAAAAGTGATTGTAAATGATAGTATAGTGCCTTGGAATCTTACACTTGAGCCTCAATTGCCGATATCGACTTCAATAATTCAACGATAGAGGAAGTATTCACATGAGGACTCGAAGAAAAGAAGAAAGCTATACAAAGTTGAGAAGCAAACAGTGCAAACTTTGTCGGGTTTGCCGCTAGGCCATTTTGAGTCTTTGGGGTCTTTTTTAGTCTACACTTTGTAGTATACATAGTTAGTTAGTATGAATGAACAGCTATTGTTGTTCAAATGCATTAGAAAGGAAGCTAGCGTCATGGAATGGGTATGGGAATATATAGCAGTTGCAATTGCTCCATCTGTACTCCGTACCTCGCGCCCTTCAGCCCTACAATGGAGATGTCATGTTATATAAAAAGTTCGACATTTTTCACCACCTATATTCAAACACCAATAACAGGGGGAAATAGCCTGAAATAAATAAACAAATTTGAAATAGAAGGTCCCAAAAATAGCTGAAAAGACTACATATCAAAACTACTAATACCAAAAAAGACACGACAAGGCTGCATAAGCGGCCGACTATTCTTGTACCTGCATACATAACACGCAGAAGATCTACAATTTCAAGTGTTTGGATTATGAGTGGATATTTGAGATTTGTATAGTTCTAAAAAAAAAAGGAAAAATGTCCAGATGATAGGCGATTTGATCATAGATATCACCCATCATCCTGTGAGACATGAAACGCCGTATGCCCTGTGGGGGAAAAAAAAATCGCTGGAAAGAAAGAACAAGGTATTGCCCATTGAGCTTTCGGTATATGCTGAGATAGATCCCTGTTCTAAAAGCGCCATGTCTGATACCGGTGCTCCTCAATATTAGATCAAAAGCAATGGTGCATCGAGATCCGACACCATCACCCCCCCTAACGCAAGTGGTATGTATTAAATCACACCGCCAGTGACTCGGCGGGTGACAGACAGAAGAATCCACTCATTCATGGCTTGACTCGAGACCGGCCCGAGTGGTCCAGGGCAGAACGTAATTTGCGTTATTTGTGCAGATTTCGCATGGGCGACGTAATTGGGCGTGGTTCAGCATTTATGATGGAACGGAACCGGCCGCTGGAGCAATACCCGTTACCCCGGCTTTCGCGGTGCCATTCTGGCAGACGCCTTCAATTTCAAACCCGTCGCATCGATCGACGAGGCTCTGATAATAGTCTACCAGCACTTCCGGTTGTGGAACAATGCGCCATTCGACTCGGAACAGGAAATCGAGTTCGAGCATGGCCAATTCCGTCATGCCGATTCCACCAACTCGAGCGTACGTTTTGTTGGTCCAAAAACTATCGCTGAGTCCTTTGCTGGCAACGGTGGCGCTAGTGATCAGGAACCGATGGATGGTCAGACTGGAAACGGTGAAAGCGGGGTACAGTGCGCAGAGTCGATCGATGTAGTAGACCATGCTGAGAAGGATAGGGGGTGAGAGAGTAGCATGGGTCGTCAATCGCTGGAGGTAATCTTGCACGGAGATTCGAGGGGGAGAGCGCGAGTGGAAGCGAGTCAAACGACCCTGGTGGAGTGGGATCTTGTCGTTGAATCGGATCAATTCCATGAGCATGCTGGAAATCAGCACGACCATGTCACGGGGGTCGGCGAGTTCATATTGCGTGGGCAACATCTTAACATCCGGCTTGGAAGGTCGCAGGCGCTTGGACTGTGACCTCTCCAAATCTTCGCCATCGTATTCCGCCGGCGTCGCATCCGACGAATGATGGTCCCGTTGGCTGTTGCGCTTGTTGGAACCGGATGTAGGGGCGGGCATTGAGGGGGCGGGGGAGGAAGTCGGAGGATTTGTGGACGTGACAGCCGGTTGGGGGGTTGCAGTCACAGCTGAAAATGTGGCTGATTGGGGGGTCGAAGCCAAGACTGAATTATTGACTAGGGTCTTCAGAGTGTCGGTGGAGGAAGATGCGCGCCTGCGTTGAAGATCTCCTAAAGTTTCAGGAGATGAGGGATCGACAGTATGCCGATTCAAGGCTGACCGGAGTTCGTCAATAGCCAAACGTGATGATCGAGGACTATTGAATTGTGGAGCGCCAGTCGGCTCATAGTGCGAATGTGAATGGGAATGCGACCCCGAAGTTGAAGGAAGCGGGGAGCGTAATGCAGCCGTTGAAGGCGAAGGCGAAGACGCCAACATAGTTTAGGGTGTGACTAGGTTATTAAGGAATGCTGAGAATCTGAGCATTCACAGTGCAAGGTGAGACCACGTGGGCGCACAGTCAGGGCGCGCTGTGGATGGCGTGGGTGCACGGCCGGCCTCATCCTCAGAGGCTTAGAGGAGAGGGGGAAAAAGCAAAAGGGACAAAAGGGGGAATTGACAAAGATTATAACAAAATAATGTAAGAGGAAAGAGGAAAGAGGGGGTGTGTATGGTCAAGGGAATAATACTCCGAATGACCTTGGACAAGAGAACAAGGAAGGGGGCAAAAGCCGCTTGAAAATCTTGTTCTTTCAAAGTTCGTGAGGTAATTACATATGTACTGTCTATGCTGTCAGTGGCTGGAGGTCACCGGTTACTGTACTGTTACTGTATGTGTATTTTTTCTTTTTCTTTTTTTCTTTTTTTTCTTTCTATTTCTTGGCTTTATTAATACATACTAAACTCCACATATATAGTTATATATTATATCTAAAGATAGATATTGTTAGAATAAATGATTAATATCATCAAAAACCTAAGAAATATATATCTTTAATCGGTTCAAACAACCTGTATAGCACTCTATATATTTGTACATCTATACCTAGGTATTCAATCTAATGTGAATCATATGTATGTTGTACTACAGGGCGCCGGAAAGCGGGGGGTAAACTACCGGTACTCTAGCTGAATTAGGTTAAAGTGCCAAGAGCCAAGAAAATTCAAGTACATATATAATTTGTACTGACGTTGGAGTGTTGGAGTGTTGGAGTTCTAGATGCAACCTTATATATCATAGATGGCGCCTAATGATTCACACAATTACCCCGGTGATATCCAAGGTAACTAGTTATACCGGATTTGATGTAGTGCTGCATACTTTGCATGGAAGAGAGAACCTGATATAACGATCAAGATCTTACAATATAGTCCTGGAGGCTACTTGATATAGATCTCACAGGCAAATATTGATCAATATCCATACACTCCTACTCAGGTGATACCCTTATAAACTTGAATGTGCCCCCTCTTTTCATGCAAAGAACAAAGTCTTGGAAAACCATGCCAATGTTATGGCGTTAGACTTCGGATGCCACTTCGCACTTGACAATAATTTTTCTTATGCACCTACTGAACCTGAACACACCAACTGCTCAGCAAAGTGCATACCTGTAGCCACAGCTCAGACCAAGTAAGGCTGAGTATCGGTCTTTTATTAATCCGGTGCCACTTTTTTAGAGGCGGTATGTCTCGGCAGAACCGAAGTGCGGAGTACCTCTGGGTCCGGCTCTACACTTCCGGTCAGGCATCATATCTATGTTGTACATCCAGGTCTACACAATCTTCACATTGACGGAGATAATTTCCTCAATATTACTATAACATCTTGACCAATTCTTTTAATTTAACAAAGCGAAACGTCGAGGACCTCCCGCTGGGAGGGGGTGATCGCCAGATGATGACGCGAGCGGCCGCACCACCGATTCTGTTGCAGCTACAGAGCGCTGAATCGACCTCTTGTCAGATTACAGCTTTGCGCACTCTGAAAAATGAACTGATTGGTCATGACCAGCGCAAGGAAACCTACATTTTCGAGGGAATTATACCAGCTTTGGCACAGGTGCTGACCTCGAGGTGGCCGGGAACGGCCGAGTTTAATGAATTGATATCGCCCCAAAACCGATTCACGCCAAAAGCCCCAGAAGATTATGAAGCATGCCTTCAAGCAATTTTAATTGTTGGGAGCTTGGCACAAGGCACGTGAAGATCACATCCATATCCAAATATACCAAGACAGACATTGACTGTACTGAGCAGGTGGCCCGACGTTTCTCACCCCACTATTCGCCAGCAATATCCCCCAGACCTTACTTTCAATATTTTCGTCCTCGGACTGCCCAGATTCATACTATCTTCCCATTCTACGACTCCTGAACACAATTGCAGACCGGATACCGCTGCAAAGCCAGGAACAATGGTCTCGGGACACGCAGCTTGCGGATCTTGTCTTTGCTTCTGCAAATATTAGCTCTCTCCGGCGTATAATATCACAGGAGTACAAGGATTTGCGCAGTCAGGCCACGATTGAGCTGGCAGCCGCCCTGATCAGCAAGCTATGCACGGAGGAAACCCACAAGACGGCACTAGCAGAGTCCGGGGTATTGGATGCTTTGGCGCTCAAGGTCGCCTCATTTGTTGTGGCCAAGGGATTTGTCTTGCCTGGCGCGGAGAATCGCCTTCAAGAACCTGGCGCATTGGAGGATCTGCCACTTCCGGCCCCCGAATCCGCCCAGCTAGCACCGATTCTACGTGCGGTTGCTGTCATTATTGAACAGTCAAAATGGAGGGCGGAGCACTTCCTGTCATCACCTGGCATTGTGACGGTATTTCCAAAACAAGTCGCTGGGTTTGCCCCATCGGACATCAAGAAAGGTCCGTGGGGATCCACATATCTGTCGGGCTCCGCAGTACCCCGTCATCTTGGCTCCAACCCCATAGAACAGCTTTTGCCTTCGGTTCCTCTAGCACACACAAAATCATCATCCACTTCTGCCAATTTCCCACCTTTGGGGCACGGGGGCTCACAGCGCCGACACAGCCATTCTTACCCCACGCCTTTTTCACTGGCTGACACTCCTGTCCCAGAAGACGAGAATTCGATTATCCCATGGCTGCTCTGTATTCTCCGCTCAGAGAATGGCATGGCACGATTGATGTCCGC